TATCCTCTTTAGCTTTTTGGGGGGGGTGGGGGGAACTTGCCTTTTTGGAATTTACAGTCTCGGCTTTTAGGGAAGGTTTTTACATTTGTCTGTGTATGTGGGTGTTATTCATACTCTGTGTATCTGAAGGGGCAGGAACCACATGCAGTCTGCTTTTGACTTTAGCCCTCTTTCCCAGCTCATGTTTGGTGCTCCATAAAGTGGCTAAATTGAAATGAACCTGTAGACAGTGTGCAGGCAGGACAGAATTGTCCATATAAGCAGATACTTAATTTGCTCACTGAGTCTTGGTGAGAATTAGCATTTATGCCTTTCTGGACTGTTTGAAAGGATCTAGAGTTTACTTCTTGGAGCCTTGGTTTCGCAATGGTTAGTGCTCAGCTGCTAACACGTTGGCAGTTAGAATCCACCAGCTGCATCCCTTGAGAAAAGAAAGACTTAGTAAACTGCTTCCGGAAACATTTCAGCCTAGGAAACCTTACTGGACAACATGGACTAATGACAAACAACAACCAAGCATTTGTTTCACAGCTACAGGGTTGTTGTTGTTATGTGCTGTGGAGTCGGTTGCAACTCATAGCGACCCTGTACAGGGTTTCCGAGGCTGTAAATCTTTACGGGAGCAGAAAGCCTCATCTTTCTCCCGCACCAACAGCTGGTAGTTTCAAACTGCTGACCTTGCGGTTTGCAGCCCTATTCGTAACCACTATGCTACCAGCTACAGGGTTGTTGTTGTTGTTGTTGTTATGTGCCATCGAGTCGGTTCAGGGTTAGGAGGCATTTATTCGAGATGTATAGGACTGCAGGACTCCTGGGGCAGGGATCAGCACTGAACTAGGAACCGTGAGGTTGACAATTCAATCCCACCAGCTGCTCCTCAGAAACGCTACACAGGGTCGTTATGAATTGGAACCGACTTGATGGCACTTAACAAAAACAAGATGAGACTGTAAACAAAGGTGGTATAGATTACCCTGTGTTAAACAGTAGGGCTTTGGAATGAACAGTCAGTCAACTGCCTTATCTGTAAAATAGTAAGAATACTATTTACTACTTGCTTATCAGTAAAATAGTAAGAATATCAGAGTCCTGCCAGAAGAAACAAATCCGTGTTGGAAGAAGTACAGCCAGAATACTCCTCAGAAGCCAGGATGGTGAGACTTCGTCACTCATACTCTGGACAAGTCTCTGGAGAAGGACATCATGCTTAGTAAAGTGGAGGGTCAGCGATCATGAGGAAGACCCCCAATGAGATGGACTGGCAGTGTCAGCAGCTATGGACTCAGGTGCAACAATTATGAGACTGACAAAGGACCCGGGGAGTGATTCGTTCTGTTGTGCAAAGGTCGCTTTGAGTTGGGGCCAATGTAGCGGCACCTAACAACTCAAATGAGCTAATAAAAGTAACTCTAGCCAGATAGATACATATCAGGTATTATTATGCTTATTTCATTAGCTGAGCCTGAGAGAGGTTACACAGTATCTACGGATAGGAAAGTAAGTAACTTGGTGTCGAGTTGTTGAAAATTGAAAGGGGCATATCAGTACAACGATTGGCTAATGAATAACAGGAGGGCAGAATAACTCGGACAATCTATCCCGGAAACGCTAAGGACCCATCGCTTTCGCGTGCTTTACGTGCGCTCCGTGACCGCCGGCGGAGTTGACCGCAGAAGCGCATGCGCCCTGGAATCTTCGAGCGCGCCCCCTCCATTCAGCGCTGCAGCGCCGGAGTGGGCGCATGCGCACACATGGCGGGCGGCAGGCGATCCGGAGCAAGTGGAAAGATTTGGGTGAGAAAGTGCGCGGGAGCTGACCGTGGAGTGCGAGCGCGCAGGCGCGATCGGGGGGCGGGCTACGATTCCGGAATCTCCGTGAACCCCAGTCATCTCGGTATCCCGAGCCTACCGCCATGGCCGCCTACCAGCTAGTGCTCATCCGCCATGGCGAGAGCGCCTGGAACCTGGAGAACCGCTTCAGCGGCTGGTACGATGCTGACCTGAGCCCAGCGGGGCATGAAGAGGCGAAGCGCGGAGGACAGGCGCTGCGAGGTACGGAGCGGGCCGGTCTGTGGGGGCTGCGAAGGCCCGGGGTCTCCGGGCTTGGAGGCCCCGGCGTCGGCGCTGGGCCTGGACTGCCCAGCTTGCATTGGCGCTTCTCCCAGAGACACGCCAGATCTTGGGCATCGGCTCCCTAGCCGTGTATTTTGAATTTGGGTAAATGGGCCGAATGTGGGGAATCGACTCGCTCAAGGTCACCCAGTGAAGTGTGAAGGCCCGCGGCAGGATGAGGACCCAGAGAGGCCACCCCGCTGCCCGTTGTCTTCCCACGACCCCATATGTAAAGTCCATCTTTCTAATCTGAGCGTTTCTTAATCCGGGGACGGGCTGCGCGGGCTGCAGCGCCTGTGGTGGCCAGGCGGGTGTGGTCAGCCCAGGGCCAGGGCCCGCCGGTGAGCCCTTGGACGCCTGGACGAGATGCCGCGGCTGCTGGTCCTATGGGGGCGGCCGCGGTGGAGAGCGACGGGCTGCTGGGGGAGAAAACCGCGTGCTCCTGGAGGGCTGTGTTGGTCAGCACCGTACCCCAAATCAACATCGTGACCAAATGCATCCACACGTAATGAGCACTGAGTAAATGAGTCAGTGATTGACTTATTTGAATGGATCCTTTCCCCAGCCCCATAAGACAGGTTTATTTCATCTTTTGCTCACCCCCTTTATGCTTGAATAAAGTGAGAGTTGGAAAGATGACTTGTCCAAGGCCATATCTTCCTAGTCCAGTGCCCTTGAGGCCAGGTCTGGAGTTGAGTAACAGGTAGGTGTGCGGAACTGGTAGGCTGTTGACCAAGGGCACTGGGCAGAGAGGGTGGTGACAGGGAGATAAACGTTTGGCCTCCCGCAGACTGCGCTTGCTGATTTTGGACGCGTTCCCTGCGCTGCTGTTCAGCAATTCAAAGAATCTCTGCTTAGGCCAGATTCAGCCCTGCTCTCTACCAACCGATGGACTAGAAGCAGCCCTAGGCCTTAAAAGGGCCATTGAGGCCTGATGGATGTGGAACTGGGATTGGACCCCATGTGGCTCTCCCTAGCTTCCTGCTAGGACTGCTTTGGAAAGTCTGGGACATGCCATCCTGCTGGGAGCCAGTGGATGTACTGGGATGGCCCAGTGTGACCTCAGGCCCTGTAAGAGTCAGGGAGAGGAAAGAGTACTGGTATTGGAGGCCATTTTCTCTCCTTGGTGGCAGCAGGGATGGGATGGCCTGTGGGGTTTGTTGATGAAGGGCCCAGGAAAAAGCAAAACAAATGGAAGATAAAAGCTGATTTTAAATTTTAATATTTATTATCGGCATCGCAAATTATATTAAAAAGACAGAAAGACTAAAAGCAAAAGTTCTGATGAAGACCATTGTGAACCTAAAAACCAAATAATATAGAAGGCCAAAGTGAATTCAACAGTGCTTTTCTCAGTAGTCTGGTTTGTAAGATCGTTACTCTGTGAGCTCTGACTGAGCAGCCTTACCACCGAGGATTACCTGGGGGCAGATGGAACCCACAGCCATTGCACTGTCCACTTCTGCCCCCAGGAGTGTCCCTAGGCTATACTTGGTTTAATGGACAAGGTAAGGGGAGAGGCTTTATGCTACTGATCTCTGAGTTCTGTTAAAGAAGTCCTAAGGGGAATTGTTTTTCTCCTTGGGGACCTATTAGTGTGTCCAAAGTGAGGCGTTCCATTGCAAATGGGAATAAATGTAGTGAAATTGCGGTAGCTTTTCAGCTTGGGAACTGAGGCTTACACTATGAATGTTCTCCTTGCAGTGACTCAGCCATTCTGCCCCGTACAGTTTGGGAGGAGACGCATGTGGAGTCTGGCTACGGCTTGTCCTGAGACTCAGTGATGAGACCTTTTCCCATGTGGGTGGTCCCGGGGGATTGATCTTCCCTTCTCCCCATTGGTATAGTTCTTATTGGTCTCCTTTTCAGTTGAATGATGAGAAGGAAAATTCATTTCACATCTTATTACTGTAACCAGTCCCAGTATGAGGCAATATTGAGAAAGTTTGAGCTGACTGGGTTTTGAAAATGGCCGTGTAGCCTCACTGAGGAAAGCAGGAGTATTTCCCTGGTCCAGTACAGAAGGAAAGGGCCATCTCCCTATTCAAGGCTTCTTCAAAGTGGGAGGGGACTCATCTTTCATTGAAAGGTGAAACAAAGTGGTTCATTGTTGTAACCTACTGGTGTTAGGCCAACCAATAGGTCAACAACCTTTTGACTTTCACCCCTGCCCCTCATGACTCTGTATGGAGAAGAGATTCTTTTATGAATGAACCAGGCAGTCTTAGTGCACAACTGTGCTCTTTAACTACTGGCTTCTTTTAAACTTGGTTTAGCAGTTGATTTGAGGTGGGTGTACTTTAAAATTGTGTTTTAGATGAAAGTTTACACAGCAAATAAGGTTCCTTTGTAACCATTTTTATACAAATTGTTCTGTGACACATTGGTTACAATTTTCACAGTGTATCAGCACTTTCCTTATATTTCCATTCAGTTTTTTCTTTTCCATAGGTCTGGCCTGCCTTCTCATTTTTGCTTTTGGCTAAAATGTGGACTGTTTGGTCTCATATAGTTAATTGTTTAAGGGAGCACCTTATTCATGAGTAATTTTATTTTTTAAGGTAGATGTACTCCTGAGGGTTGCTATTGTTAAAGTGCCTTTGAGGAGGTTCTGAGTCATAACAGCCCTTTATAGGGTTTCCAAGGAGCGGCTGGTGGGTTTGAACCACTGACCTTGCAGTTCAACGCATTATCCTGCAGCACCACAGAATAGTCTGTTACTTTTATTATTGCTGAGAGGAACCATGGGATTAAGAGTTTGTGGGGTGATTTACACAACCCATAATGAAAATATAACTTCATACAGTAAACTGGAGTCCTAGTGTGGTGCTGTGGGATAAAGCACTGGATTACAAGGTCTGTTTGAACTGCATGGTCTGTAGTTCAAACTCATCAGCTCCTTGGAAGCCCTACACAGGGTCACTATGAGTCGGAACCAACTCTACGGCATTTAACCACCACAACAACACAATAAACTGACGTGGGGTTGTATCCGCATTGGTTAGAGAGGCTTGAAGAATGTTAGTAACTATCAGAAGTGACAATTCTAACCAAAATACAAGTAGCACTGTTAAGCGCCATTGAATCAGTTCAGATTTATAACAGCCCTGTTTCCAAGGAGCAGCTGGTGAGTTTGAACTGCTGATTCAAACTGGCCTATCATTCCACTTAGAAAACAAGGATGGTTAGAGACGGGGTGGGTAAGAGTTGAATTTTGTTGTCATACAGCCATGGGTGTTAATTTCTCATGTAATAACTGTGTCGTTGTTAAATGCCATCCAGTCTGTCCCGACTCATGGCAACCCTTATCGGGTTTCCAAGGAGCACCTGGTGGGTTTGAACTGCTGACCTTGTTGTTCACAGCCCAGTGCTGATCCTACAGCGCTGCACTAGGAGTGACCCTGATAATTATCATTCCTTTTGGTTTTGTTTTCCTCATCTGGTATAATGGGTTTTGAGGATTGTTGAGTACTAAATAACACATACAGAGTACTTAGTCCAGAGCAGGTCAGGTTGTATGCCCTCTATAAATGTTAACTATTCTTGTTTACTAAGAGACTTTTAAATTTTTAGTATCCTTCAATTAATTGAAAAAGTTAAAATAAATTCTTAAAATTTGCTTAAGTTACAGCAATCTCAGGATTAAGGGTCGCAGATCTCAGGTTTGCTGGTTGACAGTACATTTAGGAACCTGCTGGAAGTATATTGTCAACAATAAGTCAATAAATTATCTTTCCCAAAGGCAAAATAGTGTATTTCCTTCAAGGGTATATAAAATATTTGGCCAGATTTTCGTCTGGACTACCTATACAGGAGATGTATGTGTGAGAGAATTCTGGCTCAGAGATGGCCTGGCAAGCTTAACACTTTGGACTGATTATTTCCAGATGCTGGCTATGAGTTTGACATCTGCTTCACCTCAGTGCAGAAGAGAGCAATCCGGACCCTCTGGACAGTTCTGGATGCAATCGACCAGATGTGGCTGCCAGTAGTGAGGACTTGGCGCCTCAATGAGCGGCACTATGGGGGTCTGACTGGCCTCAATAAAGCAGAAACTGCTGCCAAACATGGCGAGGCCCAGGTAAAGATCTGGAGGCGTTCCTATGATGTCCCACCACCACCGATGGAGCCGGACCACCCCTTCTACAGCAACATCAGTAAGGTATGAACAAACCAAGGTTAGCTTTACCCCACTCAGGATCAGGGGAAGTGTCTTTCTATTTCCCTCTGAGTTTATAACTTATAAAATAGTTTATTGTGGTCCTCCTTTTCCCTAAGGAACGCACTTCATTTGTTAAGGATTTAGTTTATAGTGTATGTTGCTGACCTAAGAATTTATATTGCTTTGGGTGGTGCCTCCTAAGCCCCATCCCAAGTGAAAGTGAATTGGGAAGAAGAGCCTTGTTTCATACATTTTTGCTTTTCTAAACTAGCTTTCTTTTTGAACTGTTAATCTTCCTAGTAGTGGATAAGATCATCATTATCCTCTTTCCCAAGACTTCCTGACTAAGAGTCCTTCATTTGTCTCTTTAAGCACAAGGTGATGAGGAGTAGGTAGAAGTGGAGAGGATGAAGCCATGTCTGCTAATTGGTGGGTGAACTTGACCTTTTTGGTGGTTTAGGATCGAAGGTATGCAGACCTCACTGAAGATCAGCTGCCATCCTGTGAGAGTCTCAAGGATACTATTGCCAGAGCTCTCCCCTTTTGGAATGAAGAAATAGTTCCTCAGATCAAGGAGGGGAAACGCGTCCTGATTGCAGCCCATGGCAATAGCCTTCGGGGCATTGTCAAACATTTGGAAGGTATGTCCATTTCTTCAGAGGGGCGTTTGAGGGAGAAAACAGCTATCTTTAATTAGGGACTTAGTACAGCTATCTTCAGGAAGAGGCTGGATCATACTGATAACCTTAGAGAGACCCCCTGGACTGATTCCTAATAGAAAGACCCTCTGCCCTTATTTCTCATATCTGTTCTACAAAGCACCAATAGCAGCACCCCTGGGAACATCATTATAATTACAGAACCTCAGATTCCACCCCAAGCCTCCTGGTTCAGAATTGGCATCTGTCCTTCAGGTGATTCAGATACACATTCAAGTTGAGGCTTCTAATTCTAGACTGGAACCCCAGTTAGAACTGCTGGTAAAATTTTCCTTAGTCACAGCTCTTCACAACCTGCCACCTGAATCTCAGTTTGCAGATTTGTGGCGAGCTGGATGGGACTATGTAGGAGATGTAGAAGATGTGTTTTAGTTCTGCTGCCCTGGGCTTCCAGCTTGCATCGTGGTAGAGATTTCCTGACATTCACGCTTCTGTAGTTTGTTGGTGACCCATCTTAGAACTATGTGCACCTTTTCATAGTTCTCTCTTCTTGCTATTCTTTATTTCATTCCTTGGGCAATAGAACTACTGTTACAAAGAGCAGAAACTGGGTAGAAGGAAATTATTTCCCAGGAAGGTCCTTTGTCACTTGGGGATAAACAGTAAGCCTGGTGGGTGATGTAGAGTCATGTCTTGCCTGGCTGATCTTGGTGGATGTTTTCAGGTCTCTCTGAAGAGGCTATCATGGAGTTGAACCTGCCCACTGGTATTCCCATTGTCTATGAGTTGGACAAGAATTTGAAGCCCATCAAGGCCATGCAGTTCCTGGGGGATGAAGAGACCGTGCGTAAAGCCATGGAAGCTGTGGCTGCCCAGGGCAAAGTCAAGAAATGAAGGCACGCAGGCTGGCTCCTGTACCCAGGAGCGCCCTCCCTGCCCGTCCCCTTCCTCTGCACTGCTCCCGGCACATGTCACACTGACCACTTCTGTAGGCATCTTCCGTTGTAGCTGCAGGTGGGGGGCTGCGGGCTCCCATTTCAGTCATTTTGTCTCCTGCACCCTCTCCCTTCATACAGACTAGTCTGAATGACACCTCTGGGGCATGCTCCTCAGCCCAGGGCCTCATCCAGGAAATGAGAGGTAGTGACTCTGGGGTTTGTTTACCAAGGACCTATGTAGGTAGAGGTTAGGGAGGAACCGTGTTAGGTTACGACCAATAAAGGGAACAAGAAAGTCTATTCCTGGTGTCAGGAGCCAGTGGGCCCGTCTGGGGCACCCTAGTCATTCCCGTGGAAGATGAATACAACCTGCATGGAAATTTTTAAAAACGTATTTCCTCCCTGACCCCAGAAGGTTGGGATCAATCCTGAATGTTTACGTTATACATTTTTACAAAAAGGAAAAATATATATAAATAAGACAAAATGAAAACCCTTCTGGGCTTTCTAGTGACCGATGAAATAATAGTACGTGGTCATCAGAAACTAAGCCATTCCTTTCACCCTGTGGGACCGGCTCCTTGACTTCTAAGGGGTAGGGGCTTACCCTGCTGTGTATTAGAATCCTTCCCCTACCTCACTGTTTGTTCTATAGCAGTGAAATGCCTATTATCATCTCCAAATGAGTCTTCATGTGATTTCTGAATCATGTTCCAGTTGCTTGGTCCTGCTACTTGGGCCCAGTACTCAGTGTGAACCTAACTGTACTAAGTCTTTTTTCCAGATCAGTATAATAAAGGAGTGATGTGCAATAGTTTTCTGTGTGATGTGAACCCTAGCTTCCAACTTGAAATGGCTCTTCTTAGCCAAGTCATTCATTATATGGAAAGAGCTTTGATATAGTAGATCTGCTTACAACTTTACACAGCCTCTCCCAGAATTGTGTTTCTCACTAGGTGTTCACCTTATGTTGGAAAGCTGGGTTATGGGGGTCTCCTTGGATGAGCCCCCATTCATGTTGCTCCTCTGAACTCTGGGGTGCTGGCTGCGGAATGCCTCTTGGCGAGAAAGTTAAATAATTCTGAAACTCCATCATGACCTCTTAAGAGTAAAGAAAAAGCCCCCCCCCCTTTTCTTTTAACCAGTCTTTTTCTTGTTTTATTTTGCTATTGAGAATATACACAGCAAAATATGCACCGAGTTTCTGCATGTACAGTTTAGTGACACTGATGACATTCTTTGTGCTGTGCAACCCTGCTCACCCTCCTTTTCTGAGTTGTTCCTCCAACATTAAAATAAACTCACTGCCCCCTAAGCTTCCTTCCGATTTCATATTCCAAGTTGCTGTTGTCAATTTGATCCCATATAGATGGTTCTTAGAAGAGTGTAGTGTTCCAGGCTGACCTCATTACTAGTTAACGACGTGTCAGATTTCATAGGCTCCAGATATTTTTGGATTATCTCAAGGCAATAGTTTCAGGAGTTCATCCACCCCCCATGCTTGCAAAGTCTATAGAGTTCATTAAGAATTTAAAAATTGCTTTACATTTCCCTCACTTTTGATCAGGATGTTTGGATCTCATGACAAAGGAGGTGCAATGAACCACACATTCCATATCTTATTCCTGACTCCTTCCTCTTCCTACAGGTGAATAGAGAGCAGTTGTGCCTTGGTCCTTTGCAGACTTAAGACCCTAGGCACTTAACTGCAACCAACTAGGAAGTAGAACAGAAGTGCTAAAAAGGGGTGTCCCATGAAACTGTGACCCTGAACCTCCAAACCTAGGAACCAAGTCCTGTGAGGTGTTTGGCTGTACATACGCAGCCTCAGCAAGCCACTTTTGTTGTGAATGTGTCTATCATAGAACGTTTGCCAATTCCGCTTTTCACAGGTGTACAGTATATTGATCGTAGTAACAACAGGCTGTGCAAACTATCAGTCACTTTTAAACTTGATACCTTTTTGGCCCATAAAATTTTAATCCTGCTAGCCAACTAATTAACATCTTAAAATATTCTAATCTTAAAATGACAGTAGAAAAAGATTAAATTATAATTGGAAAGGAGCATTGGTCACATATGTCTTCTTTAATCCTTTGGAAAGATCTTTGGAACGTCAGAAACCTTAAGCGAATACAGATGCCATCCAGTAGCTGCACATGGTACCATCTACTAAACTATTTCTTATTAAATCCCTGTACTAGTCATACTACATTGATATTGACAAGATCATCTGAAAAGGCTGAAATCCCCAGATTACAGAATAGGAAACAAGCCAAAAGAGTCCTAGAAATTTGCCACAATAAACACTAAGTACTGGAATCTAGATGAAGGACATGAGCTCAACTTGATTAAAGTCCTTATTCTGAATTAACAACCTGGTAGGATGTTAGTTTATATGGCCTGTACTAAATCCTGTAACCAGAAGTTGCTCAATTTGGTTGATTAAGTGGAAACTTAATCAGACGGAAACTTGCTCAGAGGCCACCAGCTTCAGCGGTAGGCAGGAATAAGGGAGACATTGTCAGTAGCAATACTTTTAGTTCCTTGTCAGAGATGAGTAGTGTAAGCAAGGCCTGTTAAAAGTTACATACTCACCCTTCTTCCCATGGCACTTGCAACAACCTCTGTTCTTAAGACTCAGCTCTCCCAACAGTGCTTTAAAGGGTTTGCTTTTCATTGCTCTCTACTGCCACCCAGTGGTGCCAGGGACAAGGTCTGCCTTTCTCAGAGTATATTAAGTGCCATGGAGTGGAGTCAGTTCAGACCCAGTGACCCGGTATAGGGTTTCGGAGGAGCAGCTAGTGAGCTTAAACTGCAGACCTTGTGATTCAAAGTACTTTGCAGTCCAGCATATTAACCCACAGTGCCACACCAGGACTTAAGAGTATAGTGATGTATTCGTAGAAAACAGAATTGGGAGGGAGGGGGAATGCCAGGTATCCAATATTTGTTTTCTTAATTTACTTGGGGTTGTTATGTGCCGTGGAGTTGGTTCTGACTCATAGCGACCCTGTACAGGGTTTCCGAGGCTGTAAACCTTTACGGGAGCAGAAAACCTCATCTTTCTCCCATGGAACAGCTGGTAGTTTCAAACTGCTGACCTTGTGGTTCACATCTTGATTTGTAACCACTACACTACCAGAGCTCCTTCGCTTGGGGTAGGTAATTTTATCTCAGTTTTTACAGAGGAGGAAATACCCTTGGAGAAGAGGTTAAATGATTTGCTCATTCAATGTAATATGGAGTAAGTGGCAGAGTGTTTCATTCAGGTCCTCTGATGACAAGTCCACTTACTCCTTCAGGTCTGTTGAGATGAAGGTCCAGTGGCCAGCCTAGTGATAGCTGGAGAGAACTAGTCTAGCTGGTTGGCTCCAAGGACTAGGCATGGAATCACACCATCAGACTAGACTCTGCTGTTTGTTAAGTGCTGTCAAGTCGATTCCGACCCATAGCGACCCTGTATAGGGTTTCTGAGGAGCGGCTGGTGGGCTTGAGCCACCGACCTTGCAGTTCAGATGGCTTTTCAGTCTGGCGCATTAACCCGCAGTGCCACACCAGGACTCCAAAATATTAGGTAGCAGCCCGTTTTTTGTATTCCTATCATAGATTGAATTGTGCCCCTCTATATGTCAATTTGGGTGGGTCATGATTCTCAGTGGTTTGGCAGTTAGACCTCGTCCTCCCCGTGAGGAAATAATATGATGTAATCACTTCTCTGATGAGATCTGCTATTAGCAGCCAGTCAATTGAAAGGAAGTTTCCATGAAGGTGTGGCCTGCAGCATCTTTTGTCTTTACAAAGACAAACAGAAGTGAGCAGAGGAGAGACCCACAACCAAGAATGAAGTAGGTCTATTCATGACATCCTTTGAACCTGGGGTCCCTGCCCTGAGAAGCTCTAAGATCCAGGGAAAAACTGTTGGTAAGACACATGGAGATCTCCAAGGAATGGTGGCTTGCAGATGCTGAAAGTTGACAGGACCATCCCCAGAGCTGACAGACAGCCTTCCACTAAAGCCAACACTGTGAATGTAGACTTCATCTACTCAAGAGTGAGAGAATGAATTTGTTAGCGCCATCTACTTCTGGTCTTTTTTTATAGCAGTACTAAATAATTAAGATACTATTTGAAATAGTAACATTTCTGTATATGTCTTTATTATTTTATGTCTTCTCCTACAAGTCAGTCAGTTCTGAGAACCCGATTATATCTTGTTCACTGCTTTACCTAACTTTTCCTCCTGGAAGGCAGTTGTCTCTTTGTCTGTCAAATGAATGCACTCATTTATCTATATATCAAAAATTTATTTATCAAATGAAGAACTCATCACCAAAGAACCAGTGTCAATCTCAAGTCTGCACACCCACGCTTCTGTTTAATACTCAGCAGAAGAGACACGTGGGTGTACGAGAGCACGAGAGCACCTGGGCAATACGTAAGACGGGCCTGGGTCTGAAGACTGTGCTGCCACCTGATGGATATGATTTGGGGCAAGACAGTCTCTCTAAGCTCTAGTTTCTTCTCTGTCAAGTGTGGGAATGACTGTTACTGTTCAGGTTTACTGTGAGGTTCAGAGGCAACCTAAGTGGTTAAGATTGATGCTGAAAAAAATCAATCAGCACCTTTCTGGAAGACAAGAAGGAAGAAATTGATAAAAAAATGAAAATGTGTACACTACTTCAGCCAGTATTACACTTAAGGGAACCAATTTTATAAAATATAGGCAAGAACAAAAATGGATGGTATCAGTGTTTTCTCTGAAGCTTTGGAAGAGAAAAAAAACCCCAAACACCAGAGTTTTCAGATGCCTCTCAATACAGAACTGATCACAGAACTACCTGGAAGTGTCTAGCAAGGGCCTGGCATTTAGTAGACACTTGGCTGAAGACAGGTATGTAACCATATTATATTATAACCAGATTATTGTTTAGGACTATTGACTTGGTTTCGACTCATAGTGACCCTGTATAGGGTTTCCAAGGCTGTAAATCGTTGAAGTGCTTAAACCATGAACCTTCAGGTTTGCAGTCTAGTGCTTATCACATGGAAACACAGCACTCCGTCAAGTGTTAGCTTATGTTAATCGTGTACTTCCTTACAAGGTAGCTCATGAGAAGTAATCATGAGTAATCACATGAGATAGTCAGATGAGAAAAAGGGCTCAAAGAGAAAACTTGCTCAAGTATCAATGTCAACAAAGTTTATGCAAAAGGTCACCACTGGGGGAAACTCTGCAAAGTGTATAAGGGCTCTCTCTGTATTATATCTGACAACTGCATGTGGATCTACAATTCCCTCAGTCAAATTTTTAATTAAAGTATTAAGTGAGGCAATGTATATTACGTGCTAGGCCCAACACCTACCATGCAGCAAATAACTTGGTAAGCGCAAGATCAAAACTGAATACAAAAAATACAAAGCTGGGTGTTACACAGCTGTACCACCGACAGTCTAACGTGAACACCACCACTAGCTTGTGAGCTCCAGCTGAAGGAGGAGAGGGTAAGTGAGGAGGTCTCTATACCATGGCTCCTACAAAGCAGACTGCCTGCAAAATCAACTGTTGGAAAAGCACCCTGGAAGCAACTGGCCACAAAAAGGCGCTCATAAGAGTGTGCCCTCTACTGGACGGATGAGGAAACCTCATCATTACACGCAGTGTACTGGGGCGCTTTAGCGAAATTAGATGTCAGAAGTTCATGGAACTTATGATTTGTAAACTTCCCTTCCAGTGTTTGGTGTAAGTCCAGACTTCAAAACAGATCTGTGCTTCCAAATGGTGCTTTGCAAGTGGCAAGTGAGGCCTATCTGGTTGGCCTTCTTAAAGACACCAACCTGTGTACTATCCTTGACAAACGTGTAACCATTATGCCAAAAGTCATCCAGCCATCACACCACATATGTGGAGAATGTGCTTAAGAATCCACTATAATGAAAAACATTTAATTCTTTAAAAAACAAAACAAAAAAACCCAAAAACCTTCCTGTTATCAGTAGTTCTGATTGTTAAGATTCCAAACCCCTTCACCCCCACCCAATGGGGTGAAAAGGTACCTATGTATGTGATTGTGAATGGAAAACTAGGGGACAGAAATCAGGTATTGGCAGTTTTTCCATTTTCATTTGTGTGAATTTTTAATATAAATGTGGGACATAAAGCATTAACGCAAGTAAAAATGTTTCAGTGAACAAGTTTCAGCAGTTCAACTGGATAAGGATCATAAACAAACCTGTTAAAATTTTCTGGACAAGGCCTGCATTTAGATTTTTTTAAAAACAAGTAAATTTCTTATTGACAGCAACTAAATGGTGTTTGTAGCATTTGTACCGTATGATAGATTCCATTCATTCACTATATTTGACTGAGTTGTTCTACATGTAAGTATATATGTTTTTAATGTTGTTTTGTCTGCTGTGCTGTACCTGTAAGCTTGCTGTTAAAATGCATTAAACTAAAAAAAAAAAAAAAAAAAGCCATTTGGCAATCAGACTTTGTTCAGAGAAAGCAAGCCCTTCATAAACATCACTGAGTAACAACTGACAAATGCTTGCTAAAATGCCACGATGCCACTCAGATTCCTTTCCCTGCTCAGGACAACAGAAACTATACAATCCTTTTAATAATGTTTTATCACAGTAAAAAATGCATACTTATAAAGAGTATCAGGAGGAAGAGGCCATTCCCAACATTAGTTTGTTTGCTTTTGCTGGCACCTCCAGAAGAAAAGCTTCATCACTGAAGAGAACGGACTCCACTGCACAGTTCCTAAGAAAAATGTTCCACTTACAGACCAAGTTCCTGGTAGATTTTTTAAGAGGTGGTAGCTGGCTGATCCCAGGTATCTGAATAAAGACAATGGCATTTTGATGCCACTTTCATACACATATTCCTGGAATCATATTACCCCCTCCATAGGGTAAAATGTGACTTCTTAGGTCTGCAAGAATTCCGGCTGTACTCGGGCCACTTTCCGGAATTCTTTCGTGTGGGTTTTAGGGCACTGCATCTCACACCAGCTGATGGGAACCATCTGGACACCTGGAAGGGAAAAGCAAGTGTTACCTGATCCCCTTCTGTCTTTAGCTGGGATTGTCACTTGGTAGAACTGTCCCCAAGCTAAAGCTCACCTTACAGAGAAAAAGTCCTGTTTATTCCACTGACTTATACATGAGTACCATTTCCTTATATTTAAAATAAGGAGAATCATTCCAATCTCAATAGTATCTACTCCATATTATTTTTTAGGTATTTAAAAACAAGGGAAATCGTTCCCAGGAAAGTTCATGTGGATGCATGAACGAACTCACCTGATTCACTGTGGGCCACCACCACCCCAAGCTCATTTTCAGCAGTGGTCAGCAGGTAGTTGGACTGTGCATCACCTAGAGAGATCTAGTCACATACCACTGGTGAAGGAAAATGAGGGGTGGGTCTTTTTCCCCTACAGTTACTTGAGTTGTTTCTCTACTTTGACAAAGGACTAGAAGTCTGCTGAGAATAAAGGATACCACTTTGGCCAAGACAATGTCACCTGGGCGGAAACTCTTATAAATTTCAACCTGTAGGTAAAGAACACAAGTGTTACATGAAAGCTCTTACTCAGGTGTACAGGAAACTACTAACCCTTCGGGTTTTTTGTTGTTAAGTGCCGTCAAGTTGGTTCCGACCCATAGCGATCCTGTATAGGGTTTCCAAGGAGCCGCTGGTGAGCTTGAACCGCTGACCTTGCAATTCAAATGGCTTTGCAGTCTGGCGCATTAACCCACAGCGCCACACCAGGACTCTACTTAGAGCCAGTTTATTTTCAAAGGATGGAAGTTAGCATTACTCAAATTAACTTTAGTTAAACACTAGCATATAAATGGACTGTTTAATATTCAGTAACCTAACCAGGACTCTGTCTTAGACAAAAGGTTCTATAGTTGGTTCTGAAAGGGTCTAGAGTAAATCTGAAAGGACAGCAATGAATAAATACCTGGCTTCAAAAACAAACAAGAAATTAGATTCTCTCTGGTCAACAGAGTTAGCAAAAAATGTACATAAAGGAAAGGGACAGTGAAGTGAATTCCATACTTTATAGCAGGATAACACATTAAACTTCCTTATACTCCACATTCCTGGACTCCTGGTGTGGCATTTTAGGGTAAGCACTAGACTGCTAACCACAAGGTTAGCGGTTCAAAACCACTAACAGCTCCTTGGAAACTCTGTATAGAGTTGTTATAACTCCAAGTCACTTAACAACTCCATATTCCTAAGGGTCTTTGAGGTTCATTAAGATAATAATGTAAAGCAACTAAGATTCCTAAAGCCACTTGGGGGCAGGGGAGAACCAACCAACCTTGTCTTTTTCAGTAGCTCGGACATCTTCCTTTCTATAAAAAAGTAATTAACAAAAAGATTATTTGTCTGTGGAAAAGAAACACCCTACAGATTTCTAATAGACAAAGAGATACAAGAGCAGATCAAACAAGTCATAATTGGGATCTAGCTGCCACCCAGAGAAGCAGAGCAAAGAAGCATCCCTAGTTCTCACTGGGAGAAGAACACATTTCCCAGTTCTAAGATGGCACTGTGGGTTAATGCACTGGACTGCAAAGTCGGTTTGAACCGTAAGGTCGGTGGTTCAAGCTCATCAGCTGCTTCTCAGAAATCATATACAGGCTCGCTCTGGGTCAGAACCGACTTGATGGCACTTAGCAACAAGACCACAAAGAGCACAAGATCAGTGTTTCTAACTAGAGAAAACCAGATCTGATTTGGCAGGAAATAAATTCTGCTGCTTTAGGAGAAAATGAACAGAAGCTCTACAGAGCCACACAATCCGGAGGTTGAAGGGAGACTCATTTCAATGAGTTAGTTAGCAGGACTTAGTTGTTCCTTCTCAAAGAACTCCCAAAGGTGGGATGGGATGAGTTCTATCATTTCACTCACTAACCTTTTCAATGTTACAACCCCTGGGTTTAATTTAAATCGAGTTTAAGAAGAAGAATTACTTCCTAAAATGCCCTTTACTTTGTTTGGTATGATTCACTTCAATGCTGCTAATCTTCAGCTTTATTCTTTTAGCTATCTTTAAAAAAACCCTTTCTCATTAACATTTTCCCTATATCCTAGCTTATTATATGTTTTAACATTTTCTTTGGCCTCTATTGGGAGAAAATAAAAGCACAACGGGAGATAGAAATAGGCACAAGTAAGAATTGTATTTGTTCCTATAAATTTCTATCCTAGTATCTTACAGGCGCTGAGGCAAATGTGAAGACAAGAATACTTCCTACCGGATAGTTCCTCGAAAAGAGTTCTTAAGTGGTGTGGACCCCACGTAGAGGATGTGTACTTTAGCAAAGCGTGAATTGATACTAGAGACCTGTAGAACAGAGAAAGGATGGGCATTAGAGAATTAGCAATCATCAGTTCAATAACTAGGAATGACAAGGTTTTAGTCCAAGCAATCCTACTAAATATATAACTTAAGAGAAGTAAACCGTATTTATCTCTGCACAGGTGCTATGTGTAAAGTGATGAGAACCATTCTGGCCATCTGAGAGTGTTACTGTGGGAACTGAAAACAATAATGTAGTATAGACTTTGCAAAGTACATTGTTGTTAAGTGCCATTGAGTCCGCTCTGACTAATAGCAATTCTGTATAGGGTTTCCAAGGAGTGGCTGGTGGGTCTGAGCCACAACTTTGTGGTTATTAGTCCAGTGCTTATCTTACAGCACCATACGAGGACGCCATTGAAAAGTACAGAAGCTTAACATAAATAGACATAGTGCATTCTAGCATACCTAGACCTTTAAGAAGCCTATACGGTGGCGAGAATTTAAGTCTACACATCACCTGCTGTACAGTATTTGAAGCAGTGCTTCTCCAGTTACTTTCAGCATAACATAGATTTCTGGCTGGAGCAATTTATAGAGAGAAACTAAGAACTACGTATTAGTTGAGCTTAGCAGAGTATGGGGACAGATGGGGAGTAGTGACGTGCCACAGTATTTATTTATACTTCTCTGGAAATGTCTTGAAAGCAGCAATGCTAAAGAATAGACTTTTGTTGGAAGTTCAAAAATGGACTTCTTTATCAGCTTTTGGTGGCCCTGTTTTTCAGACACAGGTAGAAGCTACATACTTAGGGAATCGGCTCGGAGAAATAACTACATGTGCCTGAAGTGGACTGCATTGATTACTGCCCTGGAGATCCCTAAAATGGCACCATTTAATAAAGCTTTCTGTGATGAATGAAATGCTGCACTGGCCACTGAGCACTAGTGTGGCTAGGGTGACTGAGGATGTGAAGCTCAAATCTTATTTAACGTTATTATTTAAATGTATTTAAACACATACTAGCTTATGTGGCTAGTGGCTACTATGGTGGACAGCACAGCTCTAGAATGTTTATGACGAGTGTCATAAGCAGGGAGGTTAGGAGCACCTTACCTTACAGGTTACAATAGCCCCCACATCTGGCAGTAACTGGGATTCGGTCTCTCTCATCACAGACACCACAGGAAGCTAAAGGAAACAATAAAAATGGGTATACTGTTTTAGCCTTGTTGGCTGGCTGGTGGTTTTGAACCACTGACCTTCATGGTTAGCAATCCAGTGCTTATTTTATAGCATCTTGAGAATAATAAAGGCAACCCTTGGTCCACAGTTGAGATCACATGGCCGGTGTACTAAGAATTGATAGACAGCCTAAGAGGTGCGAGATCAAGGGCAGTCTAAGAGAGAGAGGATGGAAGGTTGCCGCCTTTACCGCGCCGTTCTCGCTGCTCTTCGTCAGGCAGCCGGCGAGCGACGAGAAGATGTAGCCGTGGCGGGTGTAGGTGCCGCTGCCCGGGCTGCCCTCCTCCAAGTTACACAGACGTTCGCCTGCGGAAGAAACGCCGCATCAATGACGGGCCCTCAAAAGTTGTTGGCCGTCCAGCTATCCAGCCACGGTCCCTACCTAGGGCTCGGTAGACACAGCTCACTTACCGGGGACGCAGTACCTTACGGGACGCGCCATGACGGCTTCAATCTCAGAGCCTGGAGGAAAAGTAGGCTGACTTCTTGATTGGACAAATCCAGGCGCAGTGCCGCAGTAACAAGCAGGCTAATTGGTGAGTGTCACCTCGTGATCTCCGCGTCTCCTCGAGGGGCCGACTTCATATCCCAGGTTGCCTCGAGACAAGTCTAGGGGCGGAGCTCTAGGGCTCCTGCGCCTGCGCCTGCGCCTGCCGTCCAGGATGGGCTGGTGGTGGTTCCAGGTGCCCCAGCTGCTTCTGCGGACGGCAGGCCACGCTGGGTCGGCTTGAGCCGGGCCCGACCGGGGCGCCGACCGGGAGGGACTGGCGGTGAGTGGCGGCGGTGGCTGCGAGGCTCGATTTAGCTAATTTGAGAGGCGATAGGTAAGAGCAAAGCCGCGGCTTTTGCACCCCATCTTAATCCCTTTTTCTGGGGTCGGACCCTTTCCGGGATCCTGTAGAGAGGCCAGGATTCTGCAGGACTGTGCCCTTCTGGCTGGCCAAGCGCACCCTGTGGGCAGCCGTAAGGAGCGGAGCGGGAAGGTTATCCAACCCAATTGGTCAATTTCACGGATTTATAAACTCAGATTCAGAAACAGGATTTTGCTTGTTCAAAGTCTCGCAGATAGTTCAAGCTAAAGCCCACACCGGATATTTTTGACTTTGTCGCCATCGCACTTTGATCACGCCACACTTGAGGACTAAAACTCCTTTTCTGTAATTGCAGCTTCCTGTCCGGCAGTAGGATTTTCTCAAGCGAAGTACTGGTCGTGTGGGCTCATCCTCAGCTTTTGACACTGTTACTCTTTCCTTCCCAGCATGTTAGCCTCGTAGTGGAGTTGTTGTGCACATAAATAAAATGCTGTTTTTTATTGATGCCTGAGATCACAGGTATCCTGAGAGCAGCATCGTTGTCCAGATGTTTGCCACGACTTGCACCTGTTTCCTCTGTCTTTAGGTACCCATTCCCCACCCTCCAATAGGGCACACAGTGACTTTAGTGCCTTGGGAAGAGAGGATTCTCTCATGAGTGCTGTGACCTACAGTCTCTTCTAATTGGCTGACAGATGCCTCTGTGGCTTGTGGCTGCTACTGAGGCATCAGTGCCCAGGGTTTGTTCTTGGGGTGATAGTGTAACTGTTTTGCTCTGTTTCCTTCCCTGTTCATTCTGAAGGAATGATCTTGTGATCCAGTGAGGAGCTCTGGTAGCGTAGTGGTTACGAATCGGGCTGCGAACCTTAAGGTCAGCGGTTCGAAACTACCAGCTGCTCCGCGGGAGAAAGATGAGGCTTTCTACTCCCGTAAAGATTTACACCCTCGGAAACCCTATACAGGGTCGCTATGGGTCGGAACCGACTCGATGGCACATAACAACAACAACAACAACAACAGAAAATTTGGCAGTTCGAATCCACTACTTGTGCCCTGTGGGAGAAAAATGTAGCAGTCTGCTCCCATAAAGATTTACAGCCTTGGAAACCCTGTGGGGCAGAATCTACTGAATGGCTGGCATTGGGGTCTTGGGTGGTGGGGTTCACTCTGAAATTCTTCCATCCCCCATTTTTTTTTTTTAGTTCTGCCTTACTTTAATTTCTTGACCTGAAAGCTTTGTTTGCATTTGTAGTCCCGGCATCTTCTCCCATTAGTTAAATTTGGTGCCTCTGACTTTGTACTTTGTTCACTCAAATCTGATCTGTAGCTCTATATCTAGAAACTTGGTATTTACATGTTTTGAGTTGGTTTCAGGTTGGACTTATTTTCTAAAAGTTTTCTAGCTCTTAACAGTTTGTTGTTCCTTTCTTTGATCAAGAAGAATGATAGTTGTTGTTATTAAGTCCCATCCAGCCGATTTCGTCCCATAGCGACCCTGTGTAGTGTTTCCAAGGAGCGGCTGGTGAGCTTGAACCACCGACTTTGTGATTCAAACAGACTTTGCAGTCCAGAGCATTAGTCTACAGTGCCTCACCAAGACTCCAAGAAGAATGATAGCTGCAGACAATTATTGAATCTTACCGCATTGGTAGGAATGCCCTTGCTGGTGTTTATAGGACAGACAGACATCTGACCAGCCTGCACACCAGGTGTTCCAGGTCGTTCATTCAAGTGTTTTATAAGCACTTCTATGAGCACAGTATAAACTCAGCACTTTACAAACATGTCATTAATACCTTACCAAACATATCTATCCATCCATCCACTGCCATTGAGTTGATTCTGACTTAACAGTTGTTTATATAGTTTCTGTAAAGTAACTTTTTATAACATTTCTTTATAGTGACTTTCTATATTGTATCTTTATGGGAGCAGATACCCTTATCTTTCTCCTGCAAAGCCACTGGTAGGCTTGAACCATCGGCCTCATGGTTAGAAGTACAGTTGCTTATATTACAGTGCCAGCAGGGTTCCTTTCCAATATATATAGAAGCATAAAGGTTTAGCGTTGGAAAGGACCCTGGCATTTATTCATAGTCCCTCACTGCATGGGAACACAAGCAGATCGAGTCCCAGCAGGATTCAGTGATTTTTCGAAGATCACAGAATTACTTAGGTGCAGAGTTGAACTCTGAAGCCACTAGGGTACGGGCAGATGAGAGTTGGTAAATCTGTTTTTGAAGCAGGAATTTCCTGTAAAGCTTAGAACTGTAGGAGGTGGGTGAGAACAATGTGAAAAGTGGAGAATGTGAGAAGGAAGATATTTTTCCCCTTAAATATTTTGTTGTTGTTGAGAATATATGAGGGGCTTTAGAAGTTTATGGAAAAATTCCATTATCTTTTTTTTTTTTTTAAGGTTTTTATTGTGGATTGAGTGAAAGTTTTCAGGGCACATCATCGGTTTCACATTCAAACATTCATATACCTTGTTTCATTACATTGATTATAATCCCCTCCACATACCATCAGTTAACAGAGTTTCTCTCTATCCTCTTTAGCTTTTTTTTGGGAAAAACTTTGCCTTTTTGGAATTTACAGTCTCGGCTTTTAGGGAAGGTTTTTACATTTATCTGTGGGTATCCAGGGCTCATGTATGGAATTACTAACCAGCATATCTGAATAATCAGATAAGGGACATTTTGCTATCCATTACCTTTTTAATTCCACATTTCCACAATTTTTTGAAGCCCCCTCATACACAATGAAATATATATCAACTCAACAGTCTGTATATTCAATTTAGATACATTGATTATGTTCAACCATTTTCAATCCCCTTTTCTGAGTTGTTTCCTCTAGCATAAACTCATTGCTCCATAAGGTTCCTATCTAATCTTTCAAATTATTTTTGTCAATTTGATCCTGCATAAATAGTTTTTAAAAAAGCTCAAGGCAGACATAATTTGACTAGTTAAACTATTGCTTGGTTTTAAGATGGCTTCAGGGAATATTTCGGGTTTAAGGTTTAAAGATTATCTCAGGGCAGTAGGTTCAGGGGATTCATTCATTTTCTGTGTCTCCAGAAAGTCTAAAGTTCATGGAAATTTGCAGTTCTCTTCTATGTATACTCCTTTTGAACAGAACTCTTCTATGGAATTTTGATCAAAATGTTCAGTACTGACAACAGGGCACCATTCAGGTTTTCTGGCTGCATGGCAAAGGAGGTAGTTAGTTGCTCACCGAGGCAATTAGACACACATGCCATAGTTTCTTCCTATTCTTGACTCCTTCCTCTGTTGCTCCAGGTGAATAGAGACCAATTTTTGTACCTTGGATGGCTGCTTGCAAGCTCTTAAGACCTCAGGCGCTGTGCAATGAACTGGGAGGTAGAAAAGAAGCCCTAAACGGCATTAAGTGGACTGTCCCATGGAATCATGATCCTAAATCATCAAATCAAGGAACCAGATCCTATGAAGTGTTTGGTTGTACATAAGTACCTCAGCAGCCTCTCTCTCTCTCTTTTTATTTTTTGGTCATTTCTGTAAATAAATACTTCTGCCAATTCAACTTTTTACAGGTGTACAACTTACTAACAGCATTTACAATAATTGGCTGTGCAACCCTACCCTTAATGTGATTTTTCCATCACTATTAACCCTCTTTTTCCCCCTCCTTCCTGACCCTGATAATCAGTAGTAAACTTTGGGCTCTATACAGTTCCCTTTTCTTGTTTTTATATACATGAGATCATACGATATTTGTTACTGATTTCATTCAACATGATTTCACGCTTCACCCAGGCTGTAGCATGTACTAAGACTTCATCTCTCCTACTGGCCGAGTGGTATTCCAGCATATGTGTGTTCTTCTGTAGGCTGTTTCTACCCTTTCGTTGTTGTGAAGAGTGCTGCAGTGAACATTGGTAGACAAGTCTGTACAATCTCTGCTTTCAAGTCTTTGGGGTATACGCCTAGGAGTGGAATTGCTGGGTCATATGTTTGTTGTTAGGTGCTGAAGAGTTGGTTCCAACTCCTAGTGACCATGTATAGGGTTTCTGAGGAACTGCCTACCTTTTAGTTAGCAGTCCAGTGCTGATCCTAGATGCCACACCAGGACTCTATATAGTTTCTGTTTTGTTTTTGTTTTTTTAAATGTTTTATTGTGAATTGACTCTATACAGTTTTGTGAGCAACTGCCACACTGTTTTCCATTTTGCATACCTACCAGCAATGTCCAATTTACCCATATCTTTTTTCCCCCCAAAGTACCATGAAGTCGATTCTGACTCATAGTGGCCCCCTGTAGGGTTTTTAAGAAGCGACTGGTGGGTTTGAACTGCAGACCTTGCAATTAGTACTTCAGTGCTTATCCTCCAGTGCCATTCCAGGACTCCTTAGCCGTCCTGGTGGTGGTGATGGTGGTGTGTTGTGAAGCTGGTTCCAACTCGTAACAACCATGATAGGGTTCCCAAGGCTGTAAATCTTTATGGGAACAGAAAGCTTCATCTTTCTCCCATGGAGCGGCTGGCAGATTTCGAACTGACTTTGCAGTTAGTAGCCCGAACGGAACCCACTATGCTGGCTCCTTGGTAGTGAAATGGTCTCTCACTATGGTTTTGATTTGCATCTCTCTGATGATCATCTGTTCATGTGTTTGGTGGCCATTTGAACAAACTCTTTGGTGAAATGTCTATTCAAGTCCTTTGCCCATTTTATGATTGGATTATTTGTCTTTTTGTTTTAAGTTGTTGAATTATATGTATTTTGGTAAAGGGAAGATACTTTTTGTTGGCTAGAGCAGTTGACTGTGGTGGCATGTAATTTATATTTTTCACAAATAGGAGTGCAAGCTATTGCTATAAAATGTATTTTAGTAAATAGCTCTCCATTAACTATAATGAAGAAAACAGTGGTGGGATAGTCCAAAAATCACCTGAATTTGTTGTGGGGTCATTGATCTTGTCCCACTCTGATTTGATTGTGGCAATCCATGAATTTGAAAATTTGTGCTTCAAGACAAATCAGGATTTCAAATACTAGGAGTCCAACTCAGATAAGGTGGGAAGTTTGAATTTTTCCCTCTTCCCCTCCTGCTACAGGCTTTCTTTTAGTTTCCTAGGTGATGGGAATGGTCCGCCTCTTCCTTCATCCTGGTGCAGTGTGAGTCCCTGTGGACTTTCTCTGAAAGCCGTGATTCCTGGGTTTCTGTTAGCCAGAGGCAGTTATAGGACTTGTGGAAGGAGGTAATTAAGTGCTTTCTTTGAAAGGCCTTTTGTGGAGATGAGCCAGGGTGCATTGCTCCAGTTACTGAATTGAAACCTCCCTTGAGTCAAGCAGCCTCCTCCAGTTTCTGCTGGGTTTTGAGCTGCCTGTTAAATAAGTCAGTGGAGTTGCTGAGGACAAAGCTGTCCTCCATGGCTATCCTAGGGGAAAATCAGATGATTTCTTTTCTGATAAGGTAATGTGTAGAATTGATGAGCCAGTCATTGTAGGGATCTGTTGGGAGCATCTGTGTGGGCATGGCCTGGGCAGCTGACCTCCTTCCATTCTTGTTGGCGAGGGTAGACAGCAGAGAAGATGGAGGCACTTGTGGCGGTGCTGTGGAAAAGGGCTCAAGAGCTGGGAAGGCTGACTGGGAAGCTTGGGCCCCCTCCCACTGCTGGTATTTCCTGCCCATGCTATTATTCTGCTTTGACTATCTGAAGGTGTTTGCTTCTTTATTCTTGGGCTGGGCTGGAACTGGAGAAAAGGCTTCTTGTGTCCTACAGGGGACAGCTGAGCTGTCCTGGTGAGCAGACAAGGAATCTCATGTTCCCAGTTTGGGTGTACTGGCCTGTAACAGCAGCCCTGAGCAGGTTGGGGAGGAGTATCTTTTGCCAAGACTCAAATAGCATCAAGAAACATCGAGCTGCAAAATCTACATGGCATGCACTCATTCTCCCTTAGAGGAGCCAGCTGTTCCTGGGGAAGAACAGATGTTAGGAGGGAGAGTGATGGTCCAGGGAAGGCAGGGGACCCACACTCTAGCCAGTGGTCCTTCACTGCCTCACCATGGCCCTTGTCTTTGTATCTAGTGCTGCTCTTAACAGAAATGCCACAGGTGGGTGGCTTTAACTGAAATTTATTTTCCCCCAGTTTCTCATGGCCCTGCTTTAGGGGAAGGCTCCCTCTCTCTGTTTTGGTTGTAGGGAACGGTCCTTATTCTTTGGCAATCTTTTTGTGGTGTGGCATCTATCATTCCTTGTTCCTAATCTACTCTTTTATATCTCAAGAAAATGATTTAAGACACACCCTACACCAATAATATCTTATTATAGTAATAATGAAAACCCATTCCCAAGTGGAATTATCATTACAGGAGTCCTGGCGTGGCGCTGTAGGATCAGCGCTCAACCTCAAGGTTGGTTTGAACCGCAAGGTTGGCCATTCCAACTCATCAACTGCTCCTTGGAAACCCTGTACAGGGTCGCTATGAGTCAGAACCAAGCGTTGAGTTTCCAAGGAGTGGCTGGTGAGTTTGAATCTGTGATTTGCAGTCCAGTGCTTATCTTACATCACCACAATTGCAGGTTTAAGGGTTAGAATTCACAACATATTTTAGGGGGACACAGTTCAATGTGTAGTAGCCCTATACTCTAATGTCCATCACCTCAGATTTGTTGTGCACCCATTTGCTGGTATCAATGTAAATAGGATGTCTGCAGGTTTAGAACCTGTAGTCCTTCCAAATAACTTGGTTGGGACATGGCACTGTATATTCCTTAGAGAGATGAAGGTCTTTTATGTCTTAGTTCTCTAAGCTGGTGCTCTGGGTTTCTCTGTTGTTGGGTGTGAGGAGAGACAGGAGCACGCTGAATCCTCATAATGGTCTCTTCTCCTAGGAGCCATGCGGGGCCAGCGGAGTCTGCTGTTGGGCCCTGCCCGCCTCTGCCTGCGCCTGCTCTTGCTCCTGGGTTACAGGCGCCGCTGCCCACCGCTCTTCCAGGGCCTGGTACAGCGCTGGCGCTACGGGAAGGTCTGTCTGCACTCCCTGCTCTACAACTCTTTTGGGGGCAGTGACACAGCGGTCGATGCTGCCTTTGAGCCTGTCTACTGGCTGGTGGACAACGTGATCCGCTGGTTCGGGGTGGTGAGTGATGCTCGGGGAGCAGGGAAAGGGATGCTTTGGGAGAGGGACCTATTTTAGCAGCCAGCCCCCTAAACTTAGGGAAATTCCTGGATCTCTTGCTGGGTCTACTCGACCCACACTTTCAGACTTCGCTGGTGTTGGCAGGTGTTCGTGGTGCTGGTGATCGTGCTGACTGGGTCTGTCGTGGCCATCGCCTACCTATGTGTCCTGCCCCTCATCCTCCAAACCTACTCAGTGCCACGACTCTGCTGGCATTTCTTCTACAGTCACTGGAATCTGACCCTCATCGTCTTCCATTACTACCAGGCCATCACCACTCCACCTGGATACCCACCCCAGGTGGGTCCCCAGTCCCAGGAGTGGGGAGGGAGGTGCAAGCTTGGTGCTACGCTAGCTGTCATTATGCTTCTCCCCTTTTGCACAGGGCAGGAATGACATCGCCACGGTCTCCATCTGTAAGAAGTGCATTTACCCCAAGTCGGCCCGAACACACCACTGCAGCATCTGCAATAGGTGCGTCTTGCCTTGGCCCTCTGGCTGTAGCTCCTAGACTTGTAATTTGATAAAGACTTTGATGACTCACCCACTACGTACCAGACACTGTGCTGTCTATATCTCATGTCCTCAGAATGGTCCTATGAATTCAATGTTATTGCTACTTGTATAAACAGGTTCAGAAAAATGAGTTACATACAGCCAGCAAAAATCAGAACTGAGTTTGAAGCAAGGCCTGGCTGCCTTGACAGTCTGCCCTTTCCGCCTCAGCAGGTTGCTGGGCCTTATAGGAAAGGATTGGGGCTGGTATCTCAAGACCCATGGCCCCTATAACAGCCTGTGTCCCCCCCTCACAGGTGTGTGCTGAAGATGGACCATCACTGCCGTATCCTTTTCTTAGCTCTTCTGCCTGAGGTCACCTTCTGGGCTCTAGAACACTGCAAGGGCAATGGCTACCAACTCGAGGTTTCTAGCAGCACCTTGGAGAGGTTTCTTCTCACTGGGCTCATGAGAAGACCACAGCAGAGAAGTCGGGTCTCACCATCTTCTGGGGGAGCCAGAAGGCTGACGGCCTGGTCTGTGGGACATGTCTTCTTGGAGCGAGGAGTTTATTCCAACAGCTTCCTGTAGCCATCATGCTGACAGCTATTGGATGGGTGCAGAAGTTCATGTAATGGGTATGCCAGATGAAACCATTCTTCCCCTTCTACTTGCCCATACAGATACCTAGTTGAAGTACAGGCACAAATTCACTGAAGAACTTTAGTTCTACTATTTTCTCATCAAGACTCTGAAATGCTTAGAACACTTTCACCTAATCTCTGGAAACATTCCCATGTTTTTTCTGCTTGTGGAAAAGTGCTTGGTGACTGGAATCCTTGGGCTTGGTGACCCAGAGAAACCTGGTAACCCCTAGCAATTGTGTTTGATTTTGTCCTTAATCCTTATGCCACCAGCCTGGCTAAACAACTGTGTGGGCCACTACAACCACCGGTACTTCTTCTCATTCTGCTTTTTCATGACTCTGGGCTGTGTCTACTGCAGCTATGGAAGCTGGGACCTTTTCCGGGAGGCTTATGCTGCCATTGAGGTGAGCCCATGGTGAGGAAGGAGCAGGGCAGCTTAGAACAGCTTTGGGGCACAGAATCGGTCCCTAAAGAGAGGGGCTGGTAGCACCCCCATTCTACAGGCCTGAGAGTATAACCAGTACTGTTTTCAATCCCCTTAGAAAATGAAACAGCTCGACAAGAACAAACTACAGGCGGTTGCCAACCAGGTGGGCTGTCCCCACCCCACTGCCTCCTGCTGCTCAGGCCTGGGGTATAGAGTTGCTGAGGCAACTGGGGCTGGGCCTGCTCATTTTAATTGTGGAGGCTGGTTGAGGGACCCCTGTAGGCTGGTGCTTTCAGAAGCTGTGTTCCATGGGTAGACTCAGTGGCAACTTGAGTGGCTCTAGTCTGTGTGTTGGGCTACCGATCCCACTATTGCCTCCTCTTTGGGTGATGGCCTGAGCAGCGAGGAGTCTGTGAGTCTGTGTTAAGGGATCCAGGGCTCAGAGCTTGCCGGGCTAGTCGGGTCATCCTCCACTCCTGGTCTGTCTGCATCCATGTCAGGATCATCCCTTCTGCCATGTCTTTTAGGATTCTACTCTGAGCAGATCTTGGGCTCGTATTGATTGTATTTGGGGGCCCCCTTCCAGTCCATGTTGGTCTGGTCTCCTCTTGGGGATATAAACACATAGTGAAGGAGTTTCAGCTGGGCATAGAATGACTTCCCCTGGAGTTCCATTTCTAAAGGGGACTCAAATCTCAAGGCCCAGGGTCGGCTCCTTTTGTGCTTTGCCATTTTGTCCAGACCTGCTGCTCTGCCCAGTGTTTGTTCACGTGGTGATGTCTCTGGGTATGGTCCACCCATTTGGCTGCCACCCTGACTCCTCTGTGGCTTTAATCCTATCTTCTTGGCCTGGGTTTGGATCACTTCCCACGTGTAGGTTCTGGGGACCCTGGGAATAATTGCTAGAGACCACCAGAACAAAGGAGCTAGGCTTTGTGGTTTTGTTTTTCTAGACTTATCACCAGACCCCACCACCAACCTTCTCTTTTCGAGAAAGGATAACTCACAAGAGTCTCGTCTACCTCTGGTTCCTGTGCAGGTAGCTAATTTTCATTGTTTTAAGTTTAAGGGAGGAAAACCTTGACTATAGACAGGAACCCAACCTATTCTGATTTAGGCTGGTAAAGAGTCAGCATTTTGGGGAACACTAAGAGTACTAGCTTACTACTTGCCGAGGTAAGTTAACTGTATTAATCTTCACAGCAACCCCAAAGGGTACTTAGCTGCATTTTACAGGTAAGAAAAACTTAGTAGGGGTACGGTGATTTCTTCACTGATAAATGCCCATTCCATTTCGCGTTACGATTCCAACCCTGTGCTTTTACTACCCCTTACACCTGGAGTCCTGGTGTGGTGTTATAGGGTAAGCACTGGACTACTAACCACAAGGTCGGTGGTTCAAACCTATCAGTTGCTCCTTGGAAACCCTAAACAGTATTGCTATGAATCGGAACCGACTCGACAGCACTTAACACTGTTTCCCACGTATGGGTATTTTCAGAATCATATGTTTTTTTTAATATTCTTTTCTTAGCCCATGTAGATGCCTTCTTTTTTGTGAATGATTTTTTAATAAACATAATGAAGTAAAAGTTAAACTAGGATACTTTGTTAAGTCCCACTGAGTCAGTTATGACATATAGCAAACCCTGTATAGGGTTTCCAAGGAGTGGCTGGTAGGTTTGAACTGTTGGCTTTGCAGGCAGCAATCCAGTGCTTATCCTACAGTGTCACACCAGGCCTCCAAACTAAGATACAGGCTACTACAACTGAACTAGTAGGTATGACCGCAGTTGCCTCAGGGAAATAAGTAGACATAGGCAGAGCCGTCCTTTCTAGTCAGTTCCAACCCTGTGTGTGCAGAGTCGAGTTGTTCCACTTAGGGTTTCAGGCTGTGACCTTTCAGAAGTAGACTGCCAGGTCTGTCTTCCAAGCCCTAGTAATTGAGCACTTTACCATTGGGAGGTCCCTAGGTAATCATCGCTTGGGTTAATTTCAGGCCTCTCCCACTAACTTTTACTCCTCTTTTATTAGCTCTGTGGCACTTGCCCTGGGTGCTCTAACTGTATGGCATGCTGTTCTCATCAGTCGAGGTGAGACTAGCATTGAACGGCACATCAACAGGAAGGAAAGACGTCGGCTACAGGCCAAGGGCAGAGTGAGTGAGACTGAGGGCTGGGTTGCTGGGTAATGGAACCTCGTGGCGGTGTGCTGTAGAGTCCGTCCCAACTCAGCAACCCTGTATAGAGTTTCTGAGGCTGTACATCTTTATCGGAACAGAACACCTCATTGTTCTCCTAAGGAACGGCTGGCTGGTCGTTTCGAACTTATGACCTTGAAGTTAGCAGCCCGACTCATAACCACCCTGTAAACAGGTCAGGGCTGACGAGGGCTGGTGCCCTGAAGGGAATGAAGTAGAAGGGGCTCCTAGAAACATATGTTCTTCTTGACTCTAGGTATTTAGGAATCCTTATAACTATGGCTGTTTGGACAACTGGAAGGTATTCCTGGGCGTGGACACGGGAAGGTAAAGTAAAATGTTCAGAGCAGTGTTGGCCGTTTGAACTCTGATGATGTGCTGTCTAATGTAGTAGCCACCGTGACTGACAAAGTTAATTTCATTTAAGTTAATTTAAATAGCCACATGTAGTTAGGAGCTACTACCATAATGGAACATGCAGTCCTAACTCCACAAATAAAGATCATTGCTCATTTGAGCCAAGTGGTTTCATGGTTTATACTGCAGATAAGTGGCTTAAAGATGACTAGATCAGACTCCTGAGAAAGCTCTTCTCAAGGGGACAACTCTGGGTAAGGATGGTGGCCACCAGTCACCTCCACTTGAGTGGCAGGGTCTGGAATCTAAGACAGTAATCTGTGGGATGAAGGAATTTGCCACACAGGTCTTAACTTACTAAATCACACTACCTCCCCTCAGCACAAGGCGCCAAGGGCGGTTATTTCTCAAATTGGAACTACTGCTGAGGCAGTAACCATCAGGTGACCCTAAGTACCCCCACCCCCCCAAATTCCACTCCGTCCTATCACTGGGCCTACCTGCAGTGGCCCCACAGAAAGTTTAGGTTGAAACTGATAAAGGCCTTCAAAACTGAAGTCACGTGGATATGAGGTTTGTTACCTTTGTGACTAATGCCCAGGAAGCCCCTAGAGTTCTTGGAACTCAGAGCCATCTTTGTCTTCTCTTGTAGGCATTGGCTGACTCGGGTGCTATTACCTTCCAGTCACCTGCCCCATGGGAATGGGATGAGCTGGGATCCCCCACCCTGGGTGGCTGCCCAGTCAGCCTCTGTAATGGCAGTGTGAACTGGGACTCTGACACTCATTCAGTTTCCTACGTTGTTGTATGGACCTCTGAGGAATTCTTGAGCAAAAAGAAGCTGTGGCCCTGCTTCAGGACCCCATGCAGAGACAACTCAAGGACCAAGCTGCTGGCTACAACAGCAGCAAGGCATGCTGTGGGGAGATCCTGGGGTAGATGCCCCTTTACTCAGGCCAACAGAAGTCCAGCCCCAGGTAGGGGCCAGGCAGCTAGCCAGCTTATCCAGTGCTGACCACAACCTCCTCCATGTGATGACACTGGGGTTGGCCACCACCTCTTCCACTTGCTGCCTGAGAAAGTCCCTGAAGGGAACAGCTGAGATCCTGGCTTCTCAACAAGGCAAAGGTTGTTGCTGAGGTCACTGCCACGTCTCACAAGCTGCTGAAGGGAGCAAAAATAAAGGTATTTGATTTTTAAAGTTGGATGCTCACTCTTTGACTTTTACTGTAGAGCAGGGAAGGGGCAAAGTCAGGCCCTGATCCTCTGCCTCGTGTATAGGGGCTAGATGCTCTGAGAAGTCTAGGCTAGCACCTGTTAATACTGTTCCACCATCTCATGCCAATGACCACTCTGATTATGCTCCTGACAGTCCATTACAAAAACCCTTTTATTCTCCAGGAGGTACACACACATCCACCCTCCCTCATCCTCAGGGTCCCGTTCATCGGCATTCACCCCTCAGCAGCATATCTTCTGGTTTTCTGCCAGAGAAATGGAAGAGGCCACAGCCAAGATCTTCCTTCAAATATAAGTCATCTCATACTCTGTCACTTCACGAATCCACTACCAGTCAGGATTCTTGTGTCTTGTTCAGCTATGCAGCAGGCCCGGCATTTGTACTGTCTGTGGGGGAGGCACTCAGGCCAGCGGTCTCCCTGCCTTGAGCAGGATGGCTATTAGTTAGAAAATCTGGGTTAGATTGTCGGTGAGAATAGTCAAGGCCAAGGCCAAGGGCTCAGCTGCCAGGACTTCCCAGCAGAAACCTGTAGGCAGAAGTAACGTTAGCAGCATTAGTTGTGAGGCTTCCTTCAGGCCCCTTTTCTCCCCTGGCCTAGAAACTTACCACTCTCCCCTGGCCGACACTGCTTCCTTGCGTACCAGTCTCTTCTTGTCATCCAGGGGCTTGGCCAAAGCCCGTATCACCTGTGGTTTGTAAGGCAGCAGCTGTGAAGTCAAAAGAGATCGTCTGAGTCTTATTCTATGAAGACAACTGAAAGAGCCACCTCTCTGACTCTGGTCAGTTAATATTTGGAAGAAATCAAAACTGGTTCTGTTTTTCTTGAGTCATTCCAGAGGATGCTGTGTGGCAGGTCGGCCATTTTCTTACAGGGTTCATGGGGATCTTGGGTTCATTTTGGGCCCAAGGAAGAAAACCCTTGCTTATCAGCACCTTGTAGTTCAGGCTTCGATTGAAGAACATTGCTAATTCTATTTCCCTAAAGCAAAAAGATACTGTTCTGGGTCTTCTACAAAGTTCCCAAGCCGGGGAGGGACCTGTGAGTACTCACCACAGGGGTGGGCAGGCGAGTGAGCGCATGCACGCACTGGAGTGCAGCTATCCGGAGCGCCTGCAACACAATCGTAAGGAGGTGAGGGGAGACCCGAGAGAGTGAGATGCAGGCGTCAAGAGACTAGCCTGGGCTCCACATACCATGGAAGGGCTCGAGCTGAGGTTCAGAAACTTGGTAACCAGAGTGTCAACGTGAAGACTCATGACTTGGGGTGCTTCCAGTAGAAGAGGCTGAAGGCAGCTGAGGGTGGAGAGCTGGACCACACAGTCAGGGCAGGACAGGGCCTCCAGCAGCAAGGAGAGGAGCTAAGGGGCAACAGGAAAGGTAGGGAAGGACCACATTATTTGATGGCCCAGGCTAGCCAACTCCCTTTTCTAGCCTCAGCTGGAAACCAATGGCTTGTCCCTTGCTTAGAGGCTCCCACTTGTAAGACTTACCGTGGGCAGCTCTGGCAAGAGCACAGGCTTGGGCAGTCTGTTAAGTACATGTGAAAGACCCTTTAGGTAATTGGGCTTCACTTCTGTTTTTTTAAAAAAAAAAAAAGGCAAAACTTAGAAGAGAAGCAGGACTTGGACAATAGTTTGAGAATTCAATTTTAATCACTGAAGAAATTAAAACAGCCCAACAGAGGTAGAAAGCCCCTCAAGTTCAGAATGAGCAAGCTGTGCCAATCAGAGGAAAAAAGTGAGACAAGAATCTCAAAGTTTAGTCTTAACAGATCTAAAGAAGCACTTAGGCCCTAAGGTACCATTTTGGGGAATGTGGCCTGGGCAGAGGAAAGAAGGATTGTGTTTGGGGCCTTTCAGGCACTGTTCACCTTGGGAAGCAGCATGGAAACCCTGAACCAAGGCAGGCACGTTATCCGTGAAGAACCGCTGGCGGAACATGATCCGTACTTCAGCATGGCCGGCACGGGTCAGCACATCCGAGCAGTCGGACATGAGCAGAGAGAAACCATCAGCTGCTGCTGGGCCTAGTTCTGGATCACTCAAGAGGCTCATGAGCTAGGAAAAAAGAGTCTTTCTTTGAGTTATATGATAGAGAAGAATCTTGAATATCCAATAGGCGAATAGAAGCCGTATCTGGGAGGACAAAGATCAACAGGGAAGTCCTGGTTCGATTCATGGCGCTCCTGTCTACAGAAAGGACTTACTCGGTCTGTGAGGCAGGAGCTGAGAGGATGGTATCTGAGCACCAGGGCCTTTGTTACCTGTAATCAGAAAGAGAGGAATCATGGCATGTATGACATTCATCCCAGAACTCAGAGAAACATACACTTCTTTTTCGTGGTCAGGATAACATTTTATCTGACCAGACACAATTGACGGTCCAAGTCTTTACCCAGAGAAGCAATGTGAAGGCCTGGGTACGACAGGCTCCAGTGCCCAGGCCAGTCTCTACTTTGTCCAGAGCCAGCCGTAGGAATTCATCCAACTGCTGCCCTAAAAAAGAGGGATGAAATGCTGAAGCCAAGGCTACATATTTCTCCTTTAATGATGATTTAATAAAAAAATATAAATCATCAGTGCAGTGATCCCTGAGAGATCGGTAACGAAGAGCACTAAATGCTCTGCTTGTGGACACTGCCCACTCAGCATTGGGTTAGGGGAGCCAGCAGTGAAAAGCAGCCAAGGCTATGTGCTGGCAACAAAGAGTTGTCCGTATCAGCTCTGCTGTACAGGGTAGGGTGGCAGAAAGGCACCACATTCTGTGTCTACTCCCCTCCCGTCTCCCCTATGCCCTGCAATGCTTTGTCCAACTCTGGTCTTGACTCTTGTACCAAAGGCTGTGCTAAGGCACTGAAGAAGCCCTACTATACTATTGGTGGTGGTGGTGGTGTGCCTGGAGTCAGTTCCAACTCATAGTGACCCTACACAGGGTTTCTGAGGCTGTAAATCTTTACGGGAGCAGAAAGCCTCATCTTTTTCCCGTGGAACAGCTGGTAGTTTCAAACTGCTGACCTTGAGATTAGCAGCCTGATCTGTAACTACTACGCTACCAGAGCTCCTTATTTATACTATTGTTGTTGTTGTTAAGTGCCATGGAGTCAGTTCTGACTCATTAGCGACCCTGTACAGGTTTCCAAGGCTGTAAATCTTTACAGGAGTAGAAAGCCTCATCTTTCTTCTGCAGAACAGCTGGTAGTTTCAAACTGCTGTCCTTGCCTTCGCAGCCTGATTCATAACCACTACGCTACCAGAGCTCCTTTATTATTACTATTAGCAAACTCTTTTTATATGGTGATTCAGAGACTCTTGACCCAGTCTTGCACTGAAGCTCACCCCTAGTACCTGCAGGGTGCTTATTGAGGAGTCCTGCAAAGCACTTGGCAGCCGCAGTGGAGGAGAAGGGACAACTGTCACAGCAGCTCAGCTCCAGAAGCTCCCGCATGAGTTGGTTCAGCTGAGGGATTTCCACCTACAGAACCCCTGGTCATGTAATGGCCCCAGAGAACACTGCAACTCTATGAGTTACCCAGCAGAGAGTGGCAGTGGGGGTCGGGATGGGTGAGAAATAAAATCTCCAGCGAGGGAAGTGAGATGCGGCAAAGCTCAACCCAGAGACCTGTCCCCACCTCCTCTGGCCAGGGTTACATGTGATCACTCACATTTCGAGGCAGGGAGCATACAAAGGCCATTAGCAATGCAACCAGCCGCCTCTGCCCTGAAGACCCGTCCTGTAAAGGAAGAAAAACCCTATTCAAGCCTGATCTACCTGCTGTCTCCATCTGAGACAGACCCTGAGTCAGCAGACTGGAAGGACCTGAAATCTAACATTTATCCCCCGAGCCATGGCTCTCACCTGAAATGGCTGGAATCTGCATGGGAAGCTGTTGACAGGCAGAAAGGAGACATCACCATCCAGGAAGAGGGGCAGCATATGAGCAGCACTCTGGGCAGCTAAGCTGCGGGTAGACACGAGGTATCACCCCAGGAGCCAGGATTCTAAAGAAGCCTGGACCTCAGGTTCCCATTACAACCACTGAGCCAGAGGATCAGGCCTGGTCATTCACACACTCAACAGAGGCATCTTTCTTGTTCTAGACCTAGTGATACATCAGTGAGTCAGACAGATTAAATCCCACTAGATTATTATTGGAATCCTGGTATGGTGCTATAGGATAAGACCTTGACTGTTTAACCCTAAGGTTGGTGGTTCAAACTCAGCTACTCCTTGGAAACCCTTGCCAATGTAACAATACAACTTAACAATAATAACAAAGGTGATTATTATGCATATCTGCAGCTGAGAATCACCACCTGTGGCTCACCCACTCCAAGCCCTATGGCAGGGAAGACCACTTCCTCTTACTATGCCAGTGAAATTTACAAAACAAGTAACTGTTTCCACATTGAAATTTTGGGGAAAGAACTGCTCAGAAGGCAGTTTCTTGCTAAGCATGCTACCCTTCCTGGGATCAGGTGACATTTGTGTGGTACTTACTCAGGGTTCAGATGGGTGGTGGCAGCGCCAATGACAGACACCATGGCAGCCAAGACCTCATCCTCCAGCAGCACCTGTCCGAGAACTGATGGCTCCTTCTCTGCAAACACAAAACACAATGGCCCCCAACCCAAAGGAATCACAGCCCAGGTCTGTAGCCCAGAGAGCTACAAGATGGGGGCCTGTCATGACTCAGGCAGGACCCAAGTTAATCTGCCTCTAGTAGTTCTGAGGCATGAGACTAGAAACAAGAAAGCTCTAATTGGGGGCTTCAGGGAGCTGTTTGACACTGACAACAGTCCTTAGACTTGGCAACAGTGGAAAATAACCAGATAGTTGATAGGAATGTTTTTAACATCATAAATAGCAATGGTGGTCTTTTCAAAGCCTTGACTAACATGGATTTATGTTCCTGGGTTCTTATCATTTATAGCCACTGCTGTTGGCTCAATTCTGCCTCATAGTAACCCTATAGGAATAAGCAGGACTGAGTAGAACTGCCCCAAGAGGGTTTCCAAGACTGTATGTCTTTATGGGAGCAGACTGCTTCATCTTTCTCCTGAGGAGTATCTGGTGGGCTTGAGCTGCCAACCTTTCGGCCAGCTGCCCAGTGCTTAACCCATGGTGCCACCAGAGCGCCTTCACCATTTACAGTAACTATCATGTACTAAGCACTGCCAGGCTGTACCCACTATCTGATTTACTCTTTACCAACTACCATGTGAGGTATTACTCTTTCTCTCCATTTTGCAAATGCAGAAGCTGAGGCTTAGAAAAAGGCTAGTTATTGCTAAACCCGCATTAGCAAGTGGGAGAACTGAGGCTGAACACCAGCCAGGTCTACTCGATTCCCCAGCCTAACTCTAAGGAAGTGATTTCACAGCACTTTCAAAGGAAAACAAGTGCATGGGGTCCTCTAAGTGTTGCTACTACTAATAGACTTGGGGTCCCACCACTGGTCAGGTTGGTACCCTCTCCTCCGAAATGCAATCTCATTCTGGGGACAAAGCATTCAAAATAAGCCTGATGCCACAGAATGTGGTACCAGCAGTACCAGAGGTGACAGTGCTAGCCGGTACCGGTGAGGGCTGACCGCCCAGAGGAGGAGAGGGGAGCAGAGCTGAGTTACCTGGCATGGACGCTTGCACAGCCAAAGCCAGCAGGCGAGGTATAGCTGTCTGATGGAAATACCAGCAACTCTCAGGGTCCTTCTGGCATTTTTCTGCCACCTGCTGGAGGCTCTGGCAGACAGCAATCACTTCACTGGCTCTCACAACCATATTCCCTGTGTGGTAAGAAAGTCAGTGTTCCCAATAAGGCTTGAATAAAAGCACCTCCAGGTATTTCAGATACAGCAGGTGGGAAGAACAATCATGGAAGAGTGACTAAAGGGACAACTAATTTTACTCTCTTGGCTCTTCTTTCCTTCCATTTAATTTTGGAGTTGAGGCCTGTTCTGTGCCAGGCTCTGTAACATAAATAGTCACATGTGAGGGGCCTTCAAAGAGTTCATGGAAAAATGGAATGAAAAGAGAATGAAATTTTTCCATGAAATTTTTGAAGTGCTGTCGTACATTCTCTGTTCTCCACAACAATCCTAAAAGTATCACATTTAACCCTTTTTATGTGGGGCACAGAGACATGATAAAATGATCTATGGTTCTTTCCAAGTTCACAGTAGTGGAAAGTAAGTAACCACACATTTATACTCTGAACCTTCTGTTCTTTTTACTACATAATAGCTGCTGGTACCACCATGGTAGACTTGCTACACAAGAGCTGAGTATCCCAAGAAGCAGGGAATCCAAGTGAATCACACATCGGCTTGTACTTAGCGACAGCTGCTCTAACTTTTGCCTTGTAGCAGTACTTTACACACAACTTTGACAGGAGGGGATCTTACATGTTACCTAGAGATCATGTTAAAATGCAAATTTTTATCAGTGGGGGCCTGTGATATGCCCATGCTGTTGGTCCATGGACCATATTTTGAGTTGTTTAGTGTGTACAGTAAGTCCAGTGCTTACTGCACTCCCAATATCTCAAGCACAAAGCAAGCTTCACTCCAAACTGGAGTCAGCTGGGCACTCTTCATTATTCTTGCCATGACCGATCCCACCTCAGACATGGATTCTGTTGGACTAGGTGAAACCTAAGCACCAATATTTAAAATATGTTCTTCATGTGACTTTTCTGTACAATCACAATTAAAACCATTGCCTTAGAGGTGTCCACTCTGAACCTGACTTACTCCCCATTCAGCCCAGCTCTTGACCCCTGCCCACGTTGTTTTCCTTCCTGGTAGGAAGTTACCTTTGTTCATCTGCCAGAGATGCTGTAGCAGTAGTGGCAAGGTTTCCTTGACGATGCTGGGATGTGTTGATACAGCTGACAAGGCTTGCAGACAAAGCAGATGTCTTGAGCATTTGGTGGGTCCATCGCCTCTAACCAAATCTGACTCCTCTGAAAGCAAAGCAGGAGACCAGGTTTCACTACCCAGAGGGCAGGCACAGAGCTCTCCAAAGTCTTCTTGGGAAGGAGGGATATAGAAGGTTAGAGAACATACCTATGTGCAGCTCCTTGGAGAGCTTGGGCACTAGGTGGTGGCTAAAGGCCACAGGGTAGAGAGTGGCTAAGATTCCTGATGCTTCCATCGCTGCCACCCTACTAGGGGTACAGGGAAATAGCCATTAGCTGAGCTCTGACTCACTGTTCTGTTGCCTAGGCCTGCCTGACTGCATGCTGAAAAGCAGGACTCAAGTACCTACGCTGCTGAGTTGGACAAGAATTCTTAATGCCAAGAGAGAGCGAGAACAGTCCTGCATCTCTCCAACTGTTACTAGAGACAAACATGGGGCATACCTCCCCTAAGGAGAACCAAGAAACAGAAGCCAGAACCCTGGCCCTTGCTGGTTCTCTTGCTGCCACTACAGAGGCAGGGAAGAACTGGTTCTATCTCGCTCCTTTAGATTCTCACCAACTCTGAGACTCCTCTTCCAGGAAAGTCAGTCTGTAAAGGTGATCTACTGCCAGCTCCAAGTCCCCAGGAGACAGAAGATCTATGGTTAAAAGTGAACATGAACCTCATCTATCTTTTTATGTAGCTATCACATCTGAAATCTTATTACAAATCCCAAACCATCCAGAATTGTAGTGTGAGACTGCGCCTCACTTAAGACAAATAAATCTCAAGGAATACCCTAGATATCTTTCCTCTAAGATGGTAAAGAACATCTGGCCCAGGAAATCATTTGGTCTGGCCCCGCCAAAGACAACCGCAGTTCCAGCCATCACATTAAGGGTGAGTTAATTAAATGCTTGACCAAATGTAGCAGACTTTATTTTTAAGTTGAAAATTTTTTATGGCCCACGAATAATGTTATAAATTTGGGCAGAAAGAAGGTTCCCCACCCTTGCTGTTAAGATGTACCTGGCTGGGCACCCAAGACTGTGAGTGCACGGATGCCAACAAGTTGAAGCTGGGTGCTGGGGTCTGTCAGGGTCACAAACACCAGTGAGCACAGCTGGTCCTTGAAGCCACTCAGAGGCCTTTCATCTGGGGAGAGAGGTTATCCTGAAACTCTTGCAATCCACAGCCCTGACTCAACAGGGATGTCAGCTTGGGTCAGAGTTAGGGAAATCCAGTGGGTTTCCAGGAAGCTCACTGGGAAAAAACAAACAGGTCTCATTCATTGTATTCTCTTGTGCTCTAACCTCAGAGCAGGGCCACTGTTCTAAACAGCTACTCTTTACGAAACCTTGCCCTACTCTCCCCTTTATGGAGTCCTGGTGTGGCTGGGTTAATGCGCCAGGCTGCAGAGCCATTTGGTCGGCAGTTGAAGCTCACCAGCTGCTCCGCGGAAACCCTATACAGGGTCTCTATGGGTTGGAATCAACAGCACTTTAACAACACTCTCCTTTAAAAGGCTGCGGTACGAAACAGTCCCCCAGGTTACCACACCTGAGAAGAACTTACCTTTGTCTTCATAGCCCCACTTCTGCTGCAGTTTCAAAAACCCTAGCATCATTTCAAGGATTGTCCGCCGCTGGTTGCTCTATAATGTTTAAAGAAGTACTGAAGTAAAAAATAACTTTAAATGATTTCAGTCCTGTTCCTCTGAAAATGGGGAAGAATAAATAAGCCTTTATATGCAAGTAAGTCACGGTGATAGACTCAGAATATCAATAAAGAGATGGATGGAATTCGCATGACATATCAATTAAAAATGTATTGATAATAGATAACGTATGTATAACACACATATACATGTACACATATATGTTGTGTGCTATTGAGTCGGTTCCGACTCATAGCAACCCTCTATAGGGTTTCTGAGGCCATAAATCTTCATGGTAGCAGAAAGCCTCATCTTTCTCTGGTGGAGAAACCGCGGACCTTGTGATTTGCAGTCCAGTGCTTATCATATGGAGCCACAGTGCTCCTGTACATATATATAGTTTTCATATACATATAAAATTGTATCTACCTACCTACCCAACCACCCATTCCACTACAAAACAGTAGAATACATTCTTCAAGTGCATATGGAACATTCAAGGTAGATCATATGTTTGCCAGTAAAACAAGTCTTAGTACATTTTCAAAGATTAAACTAATACAAAGTATCTCTTCTAATCACAATTTAATGAAATGAGAAATCAGTAACACAAAAAATAGGAAAATTAACAAATATGTGGAAATTAAGCTTAAACAGCCTATGAGTCAAAGAAATCTTAAGGGAAATTAGAAAATACCTTGAGATGAATAAAAGCAAAAATACATACCAAAATGATGGCATGCAACAACAAAAAAATACTAAGAGGGAAATTTGTAGTCATAAATAACTGCCTACATTACAAACAAGACCTCAGATCAAAACCTAACTAACACTTTAAGAAACTACAGAAAGAAAAGCAAAATAAACCCAAAGCTAGCAAAAGGAAGAGAAAGACAAAGATGAGAGCAGAGATAAAACAGAGGATAGAAATATAAAGAAAATGAAAACAAAAGTTGGTTCTTTGAGAATATAGCCAAATTGACAAACCTTAAGCAGGTTGACTAAGAAAAAGGAGAAGATTCAAATTACTGAAATGAAAAATAAAAGTGGGGCTAGGTCATTACCACTCCCTTTTATTGAAATGAAAGGATTATAAAAAATACTGTGAACACCAACAAACTGGACAACCTAGGTGAAACAAATTCCTAGAAACACAGAAATTACCAAAATGGATTCAGGAATAAATAGAAAATCTTATGAAACCGTAAGTAGGAAATTGAATCAGCAATAAAAAACTGTCCAATAAGGAAAGTCCAAGGACCAGATGGCCTCAGTGATAACCCCTACAAAACATTAAAGGAAAACTGACATAGGTCTTTCTCAAACTCTTCCTAAAGATTGAAAAGGTGAAAATACTCCCTAACTCATTCTGTGAGGTCAAAAGATTCTGATACTAACGTCAGATAGAGATACGATAAGTAAAGAAAACTACTGGATAAACACTCACCCTTAGGAGATTCTCAACAAAACACTAGTGAACTAAACTCAGTGGACTATTGTAAGGTTATACACCACAGCCAAGTAGGATTTATCCCTCGAATGCAAAGATAGTTCAACATACAGAAATTAATTAATTAACTTACTAATAGAATGAAGGAAAAAATGCACACGATCATCTTAGTTGGTACAGAATAAGCATTTGACAAAAGCCAGCACTCTTTTATGATAAAAAGTGTGGAATAAAAGGGAACTTCTTCAATATGATAAAGAATATATATATGAGAAACATATAGCAGCTGCCATCACATTCACTGGTGAGAGACTGCAAGTTTTTATCTTAAAATCAGGAGTTAAGACAAGGATGTTGGCTTTTGCCACTTCTATTCAACATAGTACTAGAAGTTCTAACCAGAGCAATCAGGCAAGTAAAAGAAAGAAAAGGCATTCAAATTGCAAAGGAAGTAGTAAATGATCTCTAACCACAGAAAGCATGATTCTGTATAGGAAATCCTATAGAATCCACACAGTAAAAACCTGTTAAATGAATTCAGCAAGGCTGTAGACTACAAAATTAGCACACGAAACCACTTGCACTTGTATATACCAACGGTGAACAATTAAAAAAGAAATAAAGAAACAACTGCATTTACAATAGCAATAATAAAATACTTTGAAATTACAGAAGACCTAAATAAATCTATGGAATACTCTACGTTCATGAATTGGAATAAATTAATATTGTAACAATTCTATCCAAAGCTATTTACAGATTCAATGCACTCCCTATCAGAGTCTCTCTGGTGTTTTCTACATACACAGAAAAATTCATCCTAAAATTAAAATGAAATTTAAAGGGACCCCAAATAGCCAAAGCAACAATGAAAAAGAAGAACAAAGATGGTGGACTCATACTTTCTGTATTACAAAGGTTCAATAATTTGGACATATTGTTAGGAGGGACCAGTCACTGGAGAAGGATATCATGTTTGGTAAGGTGGAGGGTCAGAGAAAAAGAGGAAGATCCCCAATGAGATGGATTGGCCAGGTGGCAGCATTGATGGACTCAAGCGTGGCAACAGTAGTGAGGTTGGCCCAGGATCGGACAGTGTTTCATTCTGCTGTGCATAAGGTTGCTGTGGGTCGGTACCGACTTGCTGGCACCTAACAACAACAACAACTGGCATAAAGACAAACATATGGTGGTGGTTATGTGCCGTGGAGTCGGTTCCGACTCATAGCGACCCTGTATAGGTTTCCAAGGCTGTAAATCTTTATGGGAGCAGAAAGCCTCATCTTTCTCCTGTGGAACCGAAGGTAGTTTAGAACTGCTGACCTTGAGGTTAGCAGCCCAACTTGTAACCACTATGCTGCCAGAGCTCCTTACACAGAATGGAGAAAACAGAAATAAACTCTTATATGGTTAACTGAGACCTGCTGTGGTGCTGTTGGATAAGCACTGGACTACTAACCACAGGGTTGGTGGTTCATACATACTAGTCATTCTCGGGAACCCTATATAGGGTAGCTATGAGTTGGAACCAACTCGACAGCACATAACACACACACACACACACACACACACACAGAGTTAATTGATTTCCACCAAGGGTATCAAAACCATTCAATGGGGCAAGGACAGTCTTTTCAACAAATGCTACTGGGAAAACTAGATATCCACATGCCATAGAATGAAGTCAGACCATTACCTTTACCATATACAAAAATACTCAAAATAGATCAAAGACCTAAACTTCAAGGGGTAAAACTTTAAAACTCTTAGAAGAAAACATAAGTGAAAATTTCTTGTAACTCTGAATTTCGCAAAGGATATGATACCAAAAGAATCCTGTGTAGTGTTGTAGGATAAGCACTGGATTGCAAACCTCAAGGCTGGTGGCTCAAACCTACCAGCCACTCCTTATAAAGCTTATCCAGGGTCACTATGAGTCAGAACTGACTTGATGACACTTAACCACACCATGCTAACAAAGAAACATGAGCAACAAGAGAAAAACATAAAATGGAAATTTAAAAAATTTATGTATCAAAAATCAGTAGAGTAAAACATCAACTCACAAAATAGAAAATATTTGCAAATCTTCCATCTGATAATATTCAGAATATAAAAACCTTGAAAACATGCTGAATGAAACAAGCCAGATATAAAAGGGCAAATATTGTAAGATTTCACTTATATGATGTACTAATGTAGACAAATTCATACAAACAACAAAGTCAAATAGAGATGACTATGGGCTGGGAGGAGGAGGGACTAGGAGGATACTGTTCTAAAAGATAAGAGTTTCTGTTTGAAGTGAAGAAAACATTCTGGTAGTTAGTGGTGATGGTTATAAGAACACATTGTGAAAATACTTAATGATACTGAATTGTATCAGTAACAATGGTTTCAAATGGTAATTTTATTTATATTTCATTACAATGAAAAAGTGAGTCAGGGAAAGAAAGAACAAGAGAAGCAACAGTTGCTAATGGGATCAAAACCCAAGATCTACCGTCAGGACTCAAGCGCAATACTTGGTGTTCCCTCTCTAAGAGAAAGGGATCCTGGTGTATACATCCCACTGGTTCTCTACAAGATTTTCTCACCTGACTGTGCTTGTGAAACTGTTCCAGCAGCAAAGGCAGTACATTGTTGGTGATGTGGTCACAGGCCCGGGCCGATGCACCTGCGGCTGCCTGCAACAGCTTAGCACTAGGCCACACCAGTTTCATGTCTGGTTCACACAGATGGTGCCTGCAGTCTAGAGAGGCAGCAAATCAGACCTGGAAATAGGCTGAATGCTGCCTGACCCCGGCAGTTTACACAAAGTTGGAGGCTGAGACCTGATACAGGTTGCTAGCAGTTACTGCTCTCAGATTGTTTTCAATTCCAAGTATAAAACTACAGTCCCCCAATCACTGAAGCTGGGGACTACACAGGAAAGGCCACTGGCCCTGAAGCCACTTTTATCTGTATTGTGCTCACCCCCTTCCTGGCTGCCATAGCCCCATTACCCTGTAGGATGTTGCTAAGGAAGGAGTCAAGGAGGTCCTCTGCATCAGCCCTCAGCACAGAGCGAGACAAACACGCAGTCAGGGAGTGGAGGGCCGCCAGGCCCTCTGCCTCCACCCGCTCACTTGCCGTCTGGAACACCTGTCAGGGAGGATCCATGGCTACTGAGGTGAGCCTATACCACATGAAACCCCACCCATCCACTGACTATTTCCTTGAAGACGTTTGGAGAACAGCAGTAGAAATCCACAGTCCCCACGACAGTTATTCTCAACTGGTGTATTCTCACCAAGTCCCTAGGCCCACTAGGATTAGTACACATGCTTTTTGAGGAACTGAATGTCAACAGTGAGCAGCAGTAGCTGCTAGGGATCCTTGATTCTAAGTCTCTCCCTCTGTATTCAGCATGGTAACCATAATATATGCTCCTTACCAGAGAAGGACAAGAATGGACACTGTATAAAGCTGATCAAGTGCTATTACTCGGCACCTGACCCTCACACAGAGACGCTCTCCCTTGTCATTTAACTGGAAGTATACCCTGTTGCCTGGATGGACAGGGTGCATTACTTGCCCTCACACTTGCCAGGTGGAAGTTAACAGCAGTGAGTCTAGTGAAGTAACACTCACCTCTCTGCGGATAGAAGCCCAAAGGCTGGGGAGGAAGTCTGTCAGTTCCTTCTGCCCATACACAGCACAACAAGCATTCTGCCAAGGAAACCACACAAATCAGAGATGACACTCAGACTTCCTAGATATTCAGATACCTCTGCAAAATGGCACCTGAGGGAGCCTGGCTCTCTCAGGAAATCCAGCAGATTTCCTAACAGCCCTATCCAAGGCACAGGAAAATAGATCATCTGAATGATCAAACAGAAGCTTAAAGAGGGAGTCCTGGCCAGCCTTCCCTAGGTTGCCCCTCAGTTACTGCGTTGTTGTTGTTATGTGCCATCGAGTCGGTTCCGACCCATAGCAACCCTCTACGGGGTTTCTGAGGAGCAACTGGTGAGCTTGAACTGCTGACCTTGTGGTTCAAACCGACTCTGCAGTCCAGCGCATTAACCCACAGCACCACACCAGGACTCCTCAGTTACTACAGGACAAGACAATAAGCAACTGGGAGCTTTAGTCAACATACAGAACCAGATCCTGGGTATCTGTCTTTTGAGGGCCCATCTAACCATTTCCCGCTCTCCTAGAATCTTTAATCCTTAGCAGCCCTGCCTTGTCATAGGCAGGTGGAACGTGGAAGGAAAAAAATCACTCACTAATGTCTGCAGAGAATCCAGCTTGGCACTCAGCATCTCAGAATCCACTTTCTCTATGAGAAGGGGCAGCAGGAACTGTGGGAGAGAAGGAAGAACTTAAGCCTGGGATGGACACGGTCTCAGCTGCACCAGGGTCAACAGTGACCCCACTGCCACATGGAGGAGCTCCTCTCAAGTCTGGAGTTATGGTTGAAAGGTAACCTTTTGCCAAACTAACTAGACCCCCAAGTCACCTGAAAAGAATGGCCTCATTTGCAAAAGTAGATGATTTCAATACAATAGACGGCACCACATAAAAGTTAGATTAGTGTTTTAAAGGAAAAGTCATCAAGTTTGCTACTGTCATAAGCCTGAAGACAACTTATAAGATGTCACTCTCTGAAATGTATACAAGACCTTTCTTTTCCCTACACCTTTACTGTTTCTAATTCAGAGTGGTCTTTGGGCTGAGGCTATATATTCTAAACTTGGCTGACCCACCTCAGCAAATCGGGGTGTTGAAGCCAGCACAGCTCGAAGACTCAAGATCAGATCCTCTCTCTGGATACCATGGGGATCATTAGGTGGCTGGAAAAGGAAGAAAGGTCATGGGATTGTAAACTCTTCTTCACACTTGGACATAAACTTCAACCTGGCAACCTTATACCACAGGGTAATATTGACACCCAATCTGGCAGAACAGTATGACAGGAGGCACCAGCAGGAAGACATGCTTATTCTTATGTGTTCCTTGGCAATTTTCTCCTTCTGGCATAATTTTACACCTGATTATATTGCCTGTATCTTAAAACACCCAGAAATCAGCACCCTTAGCAACCTTCTGGAGTACTGCTTTGTTCTCTTTTTGAACCACGAGGTTGATGGTTCAAACTCACCAGCTGCTCCTAGGAAACCTTATATAGGGTCGCTATGGGTCGGTGGCACTTAACAAATATATAACTTGTGTTAGTATATACTGTTTCCCTATAAAGTATGAGAAGGCTTAAAAAAATGCATTGAAAAATTCAATTATAGTTTTTCCACAAACTTTTTTGAAGCCTCTTCCTATATGTAAGCCTCTTCCTGAAAAAAAAACAAAAAACTGTTAAGGTATATACCTTACGGTTTGAAATTTACTTTTTCTCTTAATATTATTGTTAAGTGCTGACAAGTTGGTTCCAACTCATAGCCACTCTATAAGGTTTCTGAGAGCAGCTGGTGGGTTTGAACTGCAGACCTTGTAGTTAGCTGGTCCTACAGCATCACACCAGCACTTATTTTCTCATGATATTAATATATTCTTTCATACCATTAGTTCTAATGGCTGACAGTATTCCACTGTGTGATTGAGTCACAATTTATTTAAATAATATCACTCAATGGACATACTTATTTTTTCACCCATATATCAAAACTGTAATTCTTACAACTTAAAGTGCTCCCATTCAGTGATAAGGATTTCAGGAAAACCAAAGGTCTGAAAGCCTAAAAACACTGCTACTTTCTATATCAAGATGGCAGATTGAAAACATGCATCAGATATTTTCCTCTTTGTGAACCCCATCAAAAATAGAGTGAAGAGTTTATATATCTTTTAAAAGACATAAAGTTAAAGGTTGAAGAGAACAGGAGAAGAGGTACTAGCAACAGAATTTCAAACGATGAAAAGCAAACGGAAAAGAAAAAAATGACTTAACAGATCCAAGGCAACAAACAGAATCCTACATAGGCAGAGAAAAGCACAATTCTCAAAAGGCCTCAAAACCTGGCAATACCAGGTACCTCTGGAACTGGGAGTGGGGCTAGGGAAGCAACTTGATTTTCTAGTTACCCTTCCAACTCCTTCCTGACTGCAGTAGAATCTGGAAGTTTAAGTCTCTGATGTCAGGAAAGCAGAGATTTCTGGTCTTAAGAGACACAGGTATAGCTGGGGGCTTCTAGAGAGGAGGAGCCCAGGTAGGTAAATACATGAAACTTAAATTTTAAAAAATTTCCATAAACAGAATTTTATTAGAACACAGCCACAGCCACACACCTTAGTTTATATCCGTTTTGTGCTGTAAGAGCAGGGCGGAGTAGTTGCTAGAGACCACATGGGTCCAAAAGCCTGAAATACTTACAAAAAGAAGAGATGCTTGACGGACCGCACTGTGCACGTTAGACCACATTGCCCCATCCCTTTGGCCCCCCAGAAACTCTACAATTAAGTGGTATGACTCTACTCCTTGAAAAAAAAAAGTTTTCTACAACTCTAGAGTTGTGCATTTGTTGTTGTTGCTAAGCGCTACTGTTGAGCCTGTTGTGACTCATACAGACCCTATATAGGGTTTCTGAGAGCAGCTGGTGGGTCTGAACTGCTGACCATGTGGTTATCAGTCCAGTGCTCAGAGTGACCATCTAGGGCAGTGAAAGTCAAAGGAACCCTCACTTGGACAGCTGATGGATGTGACTACAAACTGGGTAGATAAGACAAAGAATATTTCTAACCCAAATGTTGCTGTTAGGTGCTATCTAGTCAGTTCTGACTGAAAACAATCTTATGTCCAACAGAATACAACACTGCTTGGTCCTATGCTATCCTCACAATTATTGTTCAGCTTAGCCCATTGCTGCTTCCACTAAAGCCAAGTCTCTCTTTCAGTCAGCATCTTGACAAGAGCACTGTTTCCCACAGACTATAGCGCAGAATACCATGCAAAATTCTGCTGGAATTAACAAAAGTAATGTGCAGGGATCTCAAGGTCCAAAGGATGTGCTTTCTCCTGGCTCTGAAACGGCTCCTATTATACATGTTAGAGTCCCATGTTTTTACAATCACAATTAGCTCTGTTAATCACTCATGACTGAATCATAGAATACTATTGGCATCTTCTCCCACTTTCTCTTAACTAGACCCAGCAGGACGAAAAATGTTGTTTGGTAGGAGTTACAAAGACTATGGGTAGGAGAGCCATATGAAGTAATTCAGAGCACTGCACATTTCAGTTGCTGTCCCACCAATTCCTGGAGCCTTGGTTTTTACTAATGCCTTCAGCATAGCTTGGACTTCTTCCTTCAGTACCATCAGTTCTTGATCTTACTGAAATGATTGAACGTTGACTAATTCTTTTTGGTACAGTGACTGTGGGTATTCCTTCCACCCTTGTTTGATACTTCCTGCATTACTTCTTATTTTGGCCACGGAATCCTTCAACATTGCAAGTCAAGGCTTGAATTTTTTCTTCACAGTCATAAAGAATGAAAGCCTAATTTATAGGAAACTAAGGAGCTCTGGTAGCGTAGTGGTTACGAGTTGGGTTGCCAACCTCAAGGTAAGCAGTTCGAAACTACCAGCAGTTCTGCAGGAGAAAGATGAGGCATTCTGCTTCTGTAAAGATGTATAGCCTTGGAAACCCTGTGCAGGGTCACTATGAGTCGGAACTGACTCCATGGTACTTAACAACAATAACAATATACACTGGTAAGTATAAAAGGTAAAGTACAGGAAATGTGTGTATGTACAAGAAGCTTCAAAAAGTTCATGGAAAAATTCCATTATCTCTTATGTCCATTTTTCCACAAACTTTTTGAAGTCCCCTCATATGCTGCCTTTTTTTTTTTTCTGCAAAGCATCTGCTTATATATGGATGACATAGTTTTGTAAAGGTACAGACATTGCTGCCAAAACGGACTGACTATGGAAAAGGAAATTTGGTGGCAGGGAGGTTTTCTACCCTTTAGCATCTTTTAGATTTTGAATCATGTGTATATATTATCTTTTAACAGAAAAATAAAAAAACAGAGAAACTGAGTAGTCTAATAAGGGACTCTCAGAGCCTGTGTTCTGAATCAGAAAAAAGGGATTCTGCTATGAAAGAGATGAAAAGAATTTAGAGAAAACATCTAAAGCAACATGATGCTAGCTAAATAAAATGGTGAGAAATTCCTTACAGTAAAGATAGCTGTACAACTCTAAAGACAGTGACAGTCAATATTCAAATGTTGTTTGTTGTGCTTCAATATAATTCTTTTCATTTCTTCAAAACCACTAATGCTTGTAGCCCATATGACCATACTCACAGGGCAATGAGACCCTGAGTATCTGGAAGTAAAATGAAAATGCAGAATGGGAGGAAGGAGCTAAAGGGACAGGGTAAACACTTTCTGTGCTCAATTATGCCTTCTCTGTTTTGCCAATTTGTTTCGATTGCCGGAGATGCCCTCTGCAACTCCAGAATCATATCCTATGCATCTAAAAGAGCCAACTGAAACCCTATCTTATCTGAGAATTCAGTTCCTGCCTACTCTGGCTTACAAAGAACTCCGCATTCTCAGAGCTAGAGCACCACGCATTTTGGTATATTAGTCTCACACTGTTACTCAAATGTTTCAAACTATAACAGAACTAGGTTATATATTCCTCAAGAGCAGAAACCATTTTTATAATCTGTAGGTTCCCAAATACCTGCTGAATTGAATCCTCACAGGTCAAATGCTTCTCCACTTGTCACCTAAGTTCATGGGGGCAGGTATTGTGTCTACTTGTTCACTGCTATATTCTCAGTTCCTAGAGCCTGAAGATCTAGCAGGTGTTCAATGAATACTTGAATAAGGTGCTACTTACAGGGGTAAAATCAATAGGAAAATAACAGGATGTCACTTCAAATAACTCTTCCACAAAGGGTCCTATGGGAAGACACAAAGAATCGGTAAATTAATAAACTCATTCATTTGATAAGCCCCGAGCATCTAATTCACAATTACCAGGACATACCTAGGCTATAGTCTCTAGAGATGAGGTCATGGACAATGCAGAAGGCCACCAAGAGATTACGGGGATCCTTTTCTCCATCCATCACCTGGATGAAGCCAAAGGTGAAGTCAGCTCCAAGGCCCTTCAACTCTGGGGAGAAGAGAACAGGGTCACTGATGTTTCACATGACAAAAAACGTGGGCTTTCTCTAGCATCACTCTCTTCCTTTTCCTGCCTAATGAAACAGAGTTGGGACTTTTTGTTTCCCTATTCCAGAAGAAGCACTCAGTGAGGAAGAAATGAATAATATGCACATCGTTACCAAGGAAGGATTTGAAACATCAGCTCAAACTCTATCCTCCCTTTACTTCACTGCGGATTGAAACCTTCCAGTTCCCTTTATTCCCTCTCTCAGAGTTTTGGCTCTTTTCTATAACTACCAAACTAAACTGAGTTTTACTAATGGGGAAAAATAGTATGATGTACTCGCATTTCAGATTTCCCAGTGAGCCCTGCCTTTTACCTTCTTCCCGGGTTTGCATGAAGTTGGTGATGATTCTGTAGACTGTGTGCCGGTCTACCTGTGGCAGAGACTTGGGAATGGGAGAGAAAGAAAATAAAAGTTTTCAAAACAATACTTTAGCTGATATAACTATTTTCTGCTTCACAATCCATAGGTGGACAGTGCTCTTTGTATCAGCATAAGATCAAGCTAAGTGGGAACTTCAGAGAAAAGATACGGCTGTTGGTCCAGCAGTCCAGCAATGGGCAATAAACCAAAACCTGTTTGACGCATGCCTTTCTTTCTTTAGGGGCAGGAGACACAGGTCAGATATACTGGCATACCTCTCCTTTTCCAGTAGCAAAGATTAGCCTAAACAGTCAAAAGACCTCACGGAGTTCAGAACTTACAGCATCTTTTATAGTTGCGTCATTTAGTTCTAATTATGCCAAGGGGTGGGAGACAGAGGGAAATACCAGTGTGACTGTTAGTACTCACCTGTACGTGCACCTCCTGGAAGATGGCTTTAAGCACAGAAACAGCCAACCCTGGTGGCAAGGCCACACACAGACTCTGTGGGAGAAGAGGAGCTATGTGAACATGGAAGGAATTCTATAGCACAGCCTTCAAGATAGAATCCTATATATAGTAGGCCAAATTAGCTACAGTGGGACACACTACACCCTGGCTCAGGAAGACACGCCAAGAGTGAGAAACTTGGGTCTTCTTTCTTAAGCTGGTTAGGTTCTCTGTATGTACCTCCTTCCAATTTGGCTGTGAATTCCAGGGCCCCAGAAGACAGTTTTACTAAGTGAAAACAGAAGTGGAGCAGGTTGACATGAATCTAGTCCTAGGTTTACAACCCTGTTTCTCAGCTCCTGAAGCCTCACCCCCTAAAGAACAAGGGCTCCCATGAACATGGTATGTAATAAAGAACAGGAGAACTTACAAGTGCCCTCAGACCCTGCAGGACAGATGGAATCACAAGGTGGTGGTCCTTCAGCCGGTTCTCATAGAATAGGATCAGGTGTACCACTGTACAAACCAAAGTCAGCTATTAGTTCACATGGGTTTGGGGAGGGCCCCTCAGATTTGTGCTTTCCCTGAGTTTGTTCCTGCTTTGGCTTTACCACAAATGTTCTCTTTCAGCATGAGAAATGTCCTGCTTGAGTCTGCTCCCATTAGTGGTTGCCTTGACTTGCTCAGTCAGGAAAATAGGTAAACATATCTCGTCATCCTTTTTCACATAACCCTATCATTAAACCCATTCTCAGTTCCAGAACTGCTTTTCTATAGAATAGGTGGTGGCAAACTTATTCTTAAAGGGCTGGACAGGAAATATTTTAGGCTTGCAGGATTTATGGCTTCTGTTACAACTAAGCAAGTACTCAATTCCACTGATGAAGCATCAACTCCAGCCACTGGCAATAGGTAATTGAGCACCGCAGTCACCAGATTTATTGTTGTTAAGTCGAGTTGGTTCTGACACATAGCAACCTTGTATAGGATTTCCGAGGAGAGTGTTTTTATACAACTGTTTATGAAAATAGGCCTACTCCTATTATGGTGGTGGTGTACCATTGAGTCAGTTCTGACTCATAGCGACCCTCTATAGGATTTCCAAGGCTGTAAATCTTTACGGGAGCAGGAAGCTTCATCTTTCTCCAGTGGAAGGACTGGTGGAATTGAACTGCTGACCCTGCAGTTAGCAACCCGATGTATAACCCACACCACCACCAGAGCTCCTTTTACCCTGTTTTAGAAGATAAATAAGTTGTTGGCATTTCCCCAGAACTTCAAAGGAGTTTGGTATTTCATTACTTTCCCTTTCTATCTAAGAAATACCACTTTGTCTATTTTATAGAGAAAGCAGCAGCCCCTGAAGAACTGGTATAAGGCTACATCTGAAAATCATGCGTCTTTTGTCTCAATTCTAGCAGACCACTGGTGAAGAACGAAGACTACCGCATAGCCCTCCCTACTGCCTCCAGCGCTGGCTTGAGCAGACATGGGAGGCTGTGGCTCAGTAACCAGGAAGACACTCCTTACTAGTGATGCCAGTACCTTCCTTCTCCAGGAGCAAGGAGTGACAGTGGAGTAGCACCTGTGACAAAAGCTGGATTCCTCGGGCCCGTGTCCGAGGTTCTGGATTTTCTAGAGCAGACCTGGGGAGTGTAAGAGAGAGAGCTTGCCTTTTACCCAGTTTAAACCTTTGAAGGAATAACTATTTCGCAATTAGTCACTCACCCCCTTGGGTATGAAAGCAGAGGCTGGTGATAGCACAGGCAGATGCTTCTGAAGTACATGGTGCTACAGATACTAGAGAGAACAAACCCCTAAAGCACTGCTCCCCAGACTGCTCCGGCATACGTGGCACCACAGCCAGCAGAGTTTCTGTCTCCTAGGTGCTGGGCCTGCAGGCTCAGGACCATAGTCTCAGGGGACACCATGGTTAAGCCACAAAGACAATGTTCCACTTCCTACTCTTGTGAGTAGCATCTGGATACTAAAAGCTCATGAGCAGCTAAACAAGGTACAGCTACTGGTCTCTCCATGTCCAGAAGAAAGAAGAGTGATGAGAAATAAAGAAGCTTGGAATCAATTAGTCCAGTGGACTAATGGAACAATGTGAACATCAGTTTCCATGACCCTGAGACCAGAACAACTAGATGACACCTGGTTACCACTACCAGCTTCTCTGAGAGGAATCACACTAAAAGTCCTGGATAGAGTAGCAGAAAATATGGAACAAAACTGAAAATTAAAAGACTGAGTTTACTGGTCAGAAAAAGACTGGAGGAACCTGAGACTATGACCCTTGCCCAAACCCTTCAGGTCTGGAAAGGAACTCTTGGCCCAGTTATCAGCCAAGCAGGAGACAGGGATATGGGGTACAGGAAGAACAACACTAGTAAGGTATGCACACCATGGAACAGTCAATCATTCAAAATCAGAAGGACAACATTTACCTAAAGACAAAGTTGAGACAGGATGAGAAGGTGGGTGGAATAGAAATAGGAACCAAGGGAGGAAGCAGGATAACTGTTATTGCAAGGAGGGGATTATGATCAGTGAGATGAAACAAAGTGTATGCTTTGTTGAATGTTAAACATATGATCTTGTCTGTAAACCTTCACTCCAGTCACATATACACACAAAAGTTCCTGCCTCCAGGCACACAAGCAAGCATGGCAGCTAATGACATTGTGCTTACTTTTTTCTCAGTGCTTTGACTATGACATTCCTCTGAAACAGAGCTTACCAGCTACCCACAGGGTTTAAGAGATGACTGTCAGCTGTAGTTTCTACCAAAACAGGAGCATATATATATTTTTGTAAATTATTGCTAAGAAAAAGATACTGAGAACCACCAAAGGTCCTCATTACAAAAAACCTTAGAGGGACACGGCAGAAGACAAGTTTTATTGATTTAGGAATATTGATGTAGGAGAAGCTGGACTGAAATAACAAGAGATGTAGCTCTAAAATGGCTCTACAGGTATTTTACTTTTAATGTACTGGAAGGAATAAAAGCCAGAACAAATGGGAATAGATTTCTGGAGGAGAGCTGATCATCTGAGTTAAGCCTCAGGATTGTTAAGTGCTGTTGAGTCCGTTCCTACTCATAGCCACCTAGTATAGGGTTTCCGAGAAGAGGATTTGAACCACAGACACTGCAGTCAGCAGTCCAGTGTTTATTCTACAGTGCCACATCAGAATTCCAAGCCTCAAGGATAATGGTATATAAAATTAAGGATTTGCTGTTGTTGATACCATCAAGTTGGTTCTGACTCACAGCGATTCTGTAAAGGGTTTCTGAGTAGCAGCTGGTGCATTTGAAGTGCCAGCCTTATGGCTGAAACCGACCTTGCAGTCCAGTGCTTTATCCTACAGTGCCACACCAAGTTAAAAATAAGATCACTTTTGCTAAGATTCCTAGGACAGGAACTTGTAGAAAGATCTTGGCCCAGGAAGTAGAAAAGTGTATTCCCTATATTTAAAAATGGCTCACCCTCATGATCCAGTTTCCAGCCAAGCAATCAATAGGAACCAAGAAGAGACAACAACACTAGTAAGGTCTGCTCACCATGGAGTGATCCATTATTAAAGATCAGAGGGCAACATTACCTAAGGACAAAGTGAGAAGGGATGGGAAGGTGAGTGAAATGGAAATAGGAACCACAGGGAGGAAGTGGGAGAATTCTTGTTGCAGGGAGGGGACTGCAATCTTAGAGATGAAACAAAGTGGATTATTTGTTGAATGTAAAGCCAATGATCTCTGTAAACCTTCAGTACATTCATAATAAAAAGTTTTTTAAAAAAAGACTGAAGCACACAAATGTTCATAGAAGCATTGTTTGGAATCACAAAAAAGTGGAAACAGCTCAAATGTTCACTAACGAATCATTAAACAAGATATGGTATATATCCAAACAAAATAATATTATTTGGCAAGAAAAAGAAATTAAGTACTGACACATGCTAAAACATGGATAAACAATGAAAATATTATGCTGAAATGAAGACAGCACAAAAGCCACATGCCATATGATTCCATTTATTGAAATGTCCAGAACAGGCAAAACCATGAGGGAGAACACGGATTAGTGGTTGCCAGAGGCTGAGAGAAAGAGGAATGGGAGCAACTTCTAATGGGTATGACATTTCTTTGGGGGCACTGAAAATGTCCTAAAACTATGATGTTGTTAAGTGCCATCGAGTCGATTCCAACCCACAGAGACCTTGTACAGGGTTTCTAAGGAGCAGATGGTAAGCTTGAAACACTGACCTTGCAGTTCAAACGAATTTGCAGTCTGACACATTAGCCCACAGCACCACACCAGGACTCCAAAACTATGATAGTGGTTGCATAAATCTTTGAACATACTAAAAGGCACTGAATTACACATTTTTAAATGGTAAACTTTATGGTATGTGAATTATCTAAAAAAGATGCTATTTTTAAAAACTGAACCTAGGCCACAACAACAGGAGGAGTATCTGGTATCTTCTGGCAGAGAAATGCACAATGATTTAGCTTCCTGACAACCTGACCAATTTCTAGTTTTCTCAGTTTCAGAAGGCATGCGGGCCATGACCTTGCTAATAAAATACCTGCCAATTTAAGTGGCCTACTAATTGTGAGTCTGTTGTACTGTGGTGGCTTGTGAGTTGCTGCGATTCTGAAAGCTATGCCACCAGTATTTTAAAGACCAGCAGGGTCACCCATGGGGGACAGGTTTCAGATGAGCTTCCAGACAAAGACAGACTAGGAAGAAGGAGTGAAGAACTACTTCCAAATATTTAGTCACTGAAAACCTTATGAATAGCAGAGAAACACTGTCAGATACAGTGCTGGAAAATGAGCCCCTTAGGTTGGAAAGCACCAAAATGCGACTGGGGAAGAGCTACCTCCTTAAAGTAGAGTTGACCCTGATCACATGAATGGAGTAAAGTCTATGGGAGAAAAGCCCGCGGGACCTTCATTTCCTGATGGGGCACAACTCAAAATGAAGAGAAATAGCTTTCTTTAAACATCCACTGAAAATCGGAACATGGAATGTACGAAGTATGAATCTGGGAAAATTGGAAGTTGTCAAAAGTGAAATGGAATGCATAAACATCGATATCTTAGGCATTAGTGAGCTGAAATGGACTGGTATTGGCTATTTTGAATCTGACAAACACATGGTTTACTATGCCGGGAATGACAAATTGAAGAGGAACGGTGTTGCATTCATCTTCAAAAAGAACTTATCCAGATCAGTCATGAGGTACAATAGGCTAATATCCATGCACCTACAAGGAAGCCCAGTTAATACCACTATTATTCAAATTTACACACCAACCACTAAAGCCAGTGAGGATGAAATGGAAGAATTCTATCAACTTCTTCAATCTGAAGTTGATCAAACATGCAATCAAGATGTATTGATCATTACTG